TATTGTCAAATGGAGGAAGAAACTGGTCCATGAACTGTGTACTGTTAAGTTCCTGTCAAGCTCTGACAAAGTCCCACACATCAATAGTCTTTTCTGATCCTTCCTTTAAATAACGAATCCCCCGTTGTAAGCTCGTAGATTTCTGAAACACTCGGCAGAAAAATTACGGGAACACAGCACAAGGCTGGGGCTTTAATGTATTTTTGCAAAAATAATCTTCAACCACTGACTCTTCACAGCCTCATCTTTAGGTAGGGAAAATAACACTAACTTACCCTCACACTTTAGAGCACAGCGTCTATGCGACTTAATTCACCTGGGATCTGCTACACTGTTTGTCTTCCTCTTTTTCTTTCTACTGTGTTTGTGGGCAGGACTGGGGGTCAGCTAAAGACTCATTACATAGGCAATCATTAAAACCACTATGAGTCAACTCAATTATAGATGAGTCAATAGTTTCAAACGTGGCGCACTTTCAGATTTAAGCCTTAGCTGGATATTTCACTTCACTTAGAGCTGTGTTACACACTGCATAGAAGCTCATTTTCAAAAACCCATAATATGGGCTCTTAAATATGTGAAATATTGTGAGATAAAAACTTAACTGGTGCACGTCATGGGCGTCAGTCACATGAATTTGAATAGGGCCTTCAACATTGAAGTTTTTAGTGGAATTGATGAGTTAAAAATTAGCATTATAGTGTCACACCAGAGCACATGCTTTTCAGTGGCAAAATGTATCAAATTCCTATGTTTTAAAAAATAAATGGATGAAAATAAATGATTGCCATTGACAAAAACAGACATTTGTAAAATCTGGAATTTTATTTATTAATAAATTAATGATTTTCTTTCATTTATGTGCTTGAGACAGTCACACCGTAGAACAGTTTTGAGGTTTGTCTTTAAAAAATATTTAAACATTGAATAACACAGCAGTTTTATAACAAGAGATTCATGGAAAGCAAAGAAATGTTTAACCATCTTCTACATTTAAATGATGACAATAATAATTACATTCATTTTTGTCATGTGTGACAGTGAAAATGCAAAGTCACATCAACAACCCAATTGCAATTGCACAGCAGAGGCCATGGCCTAGCTCAGGGGTGCTCAATCCTGTTCCTGGAGAGCCACCTTCCTGCAGATTTCAGTTGCTACCCATATCAAACACACCTGCCTGTAATTATCACGTGGTGTTCAGGTCCTAATTAATTGGTTCAGGTGTGTTTAATATGGGTAGCAACTGAAATCTGCAGGAAGGTGGCTCTCCAGGAACAGGATTGAGCACCCTGGCCTAGCTCATTATATCTAGGCTTACGAATACAATACAATACAATACAATATTTATGTAAAAATCCCATTTAAAAACAACCACAGTTGACCAAAGTGCAGTACATAGGAGTAACAAAGACAGAAGGAAGCAGGAGATAAAAGAAACATTTAGTAAATAAAAGCAATAAAACTGTGATCGAGGAGTATTAAAAGCAAGAAAAAAATAGATAGGTCTTCAAAACGGACTTAAACAGAGAAATGGAAGGGGAACGTTTTATGTGAATTGGCAGAGTGTTCCAGAGCTTTGGAATAGCAACTGCAATTGCTCGATCACCTCCTTTTTTAAGCCATGTTCTAGGCATGTGAGTAAATTGAGATCTCAATGATCGAGAGGGGGTATACAGACTGAGCAAGTCTGTAAGGCACTGAGGAGCAAGATTATTGACGGCTTTGTATACAAATAATACAATTATAGAATCAATTACGAACAATAAGTTGTTTGAAACTGAAAAATGAAAACTCAAAAAGAAGAACTAAATCTGGTAAAACTTTAGTTTAGGTCAAAATTCATGCTATTAACTACTAGTTTATTACTTGCCTGACATTAAGACATGTTTATTAGTAGTTATAAAGTATAATCCTATTCTGCATCCCTAATCCTACACAAAACCTAAGCCCAACTTCTACCTTACTAACTAATAATAAACAAGCTAATTAGTATTTTATTAAGCTAGTAGTGTTAGTTAATGGTTTGTTAATACTGTGCAATGTGACCAAACCTAAAGTGTTACCAAAAATCCAGGGGAAGAACTAGTATTTCCAGGACATTTGGTCATTTCTACCAATTTCTATGTTATTACCATGACTAAAAAAAACAACCTTCTAAAAGTCCAGGTTTTCCTTGGAAGTATAGGAATCCTGCTAAAGGAAGCTAACAATGTAAAAAGCGTTGTGTTGTGTCTGTTTTAGACTTACTCCACCACGTGCAAGAGATATGCTTGACGCTGGAGTCATAGTGGCTCTGGGCAGCGACTTCAACCCCAATGCCTACTGCTGCTCAATGGTGACTATAAGACACAACACTGAACACATGTTTACTAGTTAGATTGATACATTTGACCTGACTGCTCTCCTTTGTGTGTGTTTGTTTATTAGCCTATGGTGATGCACTTGGCCTGTGTGATGATGAAAATGTCTATGCCAGAAGCTCTGGCCGCAAGCACCATAAATGCAGCCTACGCTCTCAACCGCTCACAAACACATGGCTCGCTTGAAGTTGGGAAACAGGGAGACCTTGTGATCGTCAATGCACCACGGTTAGCTATCTACTAAATACTTCATTCACAGCTTCTTTCGATATGCAAGTTTAGTTATTGGCCACAAACATAAAATTGAAGTTAGGTTTGTCGTTTTTTGGGCTATTGTGACGTACATGCACTTGAAATGGTCCTAAATAAAGAAAAAAAAAATGTAGAGGGGTGCATGATTTTGTTTTTTGGTGACTGATTGGATTGTTGAAATATGGCCGAAGTTTGACAAATGAACGAGTTCAGAGCAGAAATGAGACTGTGTCCAAAATGACCTACTACTCGAGTATGTCAAGTATGAATTTGAATTTACTACAAAATTAGTAAATTATGGGATAGCATAGCGTCCATACTACTTGGCTTGCGCATTGTTTTCAACATACTATATAGTATGCAAGAATACAATTACAGGCAGGGACTGCTTTTCAAATACTTTGCTTTCAAATACTTCGGACATACTACTTGACTCGCATACTGTTTTTAACGTACTATATAGTATGGAAGTTTGCGATTTCAGACGCAGGGACTGCTTTTCGAATACGATAACTTCGGACATACAACTTGGCTCGCATGCTGTTTTTAACGTATTATAAAGTATTGAAGTATGCGATTTTAGACGCAGGGCCACTTTTCGAATACTATGAATTCGGACATACTACTTGGCTCGCATACTGTTTTTATTGTACTATATAGTATGGAGGTTTACAATTTCAGACACAGGAACCGCTTTTCAAATACTATCAATTCGGACATACTACTTGGCTCGCATGCTGTTTTTAACGTACTATAAAGTATTGAAGTATGCGATTTTAGACGCAGGGGCCACTTTTCGAATACTAAGAATTCGGACAAACTACTCAGCTTGCATGCTGTGTTTAATGTACTATATAGTATGGAGGTTTGCGATTTCAGACGCAGGGGCCGTTTTTCGAAAACTGTAATTTTGGACATACTACTTGACTTGCATAATTTTTAACGTACTATATAGTATGGAAGTTTGTGATTTCAGACGCAGGGACTGCTTTTCCAATACTATAAATTTGGACATACTACTTGGCTCGCATACTATTTTTAACGTACCATATAGTATGGAAGTTTGCAATTTCAGACACAGGGACCGCTTTTCGAATACTTTGAATTTGGACATACTACTTGGCTAGCATACTGTTTTTAACACACTATATGGTATGTAGGTATGCGATTTCTCGGGAAGGTTATGGTATTCGATTAAAGTTTGAAGAAAATTTTTTTTTTACAAAATAATGAAGTGCACAGATAAATCGTTTATAACAAGAACTACTGTAAACATAAAAATAAGAAGATAAATTTTGATTTCAGGTTGACAGAAGTTTAATTATCAATTCAAATGATAATTTTGTTTTTGTGGAACGTGACTTGATTTTGGAAATTCATCTTGTGTGTTTCGGTGGGTATCTGCTATTTTTGAGTAATACTAAAGAGACCAAAGACTCTTTATGGTTGTCAGATTTAACTAAACCAGCATTGACACTGATGTCTTATTTTATTTAGATAGAGGTCGGGGTGTTTTGGTATGTGGCTTATTTGGATTTCAGTTTAATATGGGCTTGTTCTAATTTGCTGATTTTTATTCCAGTAAGATCTGCGAATATTGAATTGAAATCTACCTTATTCCCTGTGCTTTCTTGCACTGCGCATACAGAAGAAAGACACATCTCTGATCAACAGTTGTAAATGTCATTAAGGGACCATGAAACCTCCCCTTTTTCAGTTCAATCCGCTTAGCAAAGCTCAAAATGCAAGCAGCAATATCGTCACATTTTCAAATTCGAGTACGGATTTGTAGAAGCTGGTACTTCTGACAAGACTAACTGCAACACGATTGAACATGAACACTATTATATAATACCATATTATATAACTACTGTCCAGTCTCGTAGCTAACGTTGATGTTCAACTAGTATAAATTTGTTAAAATCTCAGAAAATGTCATCAAAGGTTTCATGTGTCTTTATTAACTAGTTGTTCAGGTTGCTTCTGTACTCACTAGATTATTATTGGGTTTTTTATATGGTTGTCACTACTTACATTTTTAGGCCCGGATATGAAGGTTGTTGTAATATGAGTTCTCTGTTTTTTTGCTGCAGGTGGGAACATCTGGTCTACCAGTTCGGGGGTCATCAAGAGCTCATCAGATATGTCATAATCAAAGGCGATTTTGTTTATGAAAATGATAAAGTTTTGAATCTTTGAACATCCCACAGTGAATAAACACAAGATGGATTGTGTGGTAAAACTGTATTATTATGATAATAAAAAGGCTTGGTACCATACTCAAAATTTTAAAAATGGTTTGTTGATAAAATAAATAATTCCATACATATATTCATAAGTTAATTCAATTTACAAACAGTTTGAAATCATACAAACATGCTTTGTACCAGTCTGCCCTTTAATCTTCAACATGCTTCTGTCATCGTAATGGAAATGCCCGGTTCAGCACCAGCTCCAACCTCTCTCCTCCGAGTGCACATGCATCTAACACACACACCAGCCTCTGATTGGTCAGCTGATTTGCAGTGGCGATCAAGTCCGCTTTGGGAGAAGAGAAACCATTATTAAAACTTTACCGATTTTAGCACTCAAAGGAAATAAATTGAAATTAAAACAAATAAAAATGTGTGGACACTTTTAATGTCTTTTTTAATGTGTTGTTGAATCTTTATAATCAACATTATGATCTTAGAAACCTTACAGGATTTGGAAAATTTGCCGCTCCTAAAAAAAGTAACTAGTTGCGTTACTTTTTATGGAAAGTAATGCCTTACAGTATTTTTAAACTACTTTTGAGTTACTTTTTTATACCTGTCTGAGGCTTGATCTCTTTCAGAACCTGCAGTGTTTTTCTTTTTTTTTTTAAATAGAGGAGCTCTGCATTTAATGACACACTATATAACTTACACCTTCATTTACCTTAAAAACAAACAAATTATTTAAATTAACAGATTAATAAAAGTGTAAAGCAATGTGTTTGCTACTTTTGTATTTTTGTCTTATAAAATCACTGTCCATTGAGACAATCCCCTTTTCTTTCATAAGTTCAAAATAATGAGAATACTTCATTACAAAAATGTAAGGCTCTGCCATTTGGATTTCTGTCTGTTCCTGCATTCTCTTATTGAGTGTGATTTACCATGATTACACTCATTATAATTCAGAAATGTATTTTTCAAAAGCAAATTAATTAATCTAAAAAAAAGCTTGCATTAAATTTTTTTAAAAAGTAATTCAAATATTTCTACTTAATTTTTTTAAGTAATGCGTTAGTTTACTGGATACTTAAGCAGGTCGCACACCAGAAGCGCCGCTCGGCGGCGCGCCGCTCAGCGCCACGCCGCGCCATGCATTTTAGAATTCTAAACATAGGTTTCAATCAGGATACACACACCGGCGCCGCAAGTCGGCGGCGCCCGGCGACGGCTCAGGACGCAGTTCATTTTTCAGCCGCGCCACAGAGCGCCATCTGATTAGTTTCTTGTTAAATATCATTCGAATGTGCGCGTCTGGTGTGCGATACTTTAAACTGTCATTTACGCGCCGTGTCGCGGTGCCAAGCGGCGCTTCTGGTGTGCGACCTGCTTTAGAAAAACAATATTAATACGTAACATGCATTGTATACATATATATATAGTCAATCTAAAACTCCTCAGCAATTATAACGAGATTCACTTCATTCTCAGCCAGTGATGTGGCGTTCTAAACATTTGATCTGCGTTCTCATAAAGTTCAACACTTCTCTCTCAGTTATGTCAGTTTTCTCCATGTTGCTGTTTGTACTTGACCAAGGTGAGTTCAATACCAACGGTACGAGTGCAGCCATGCTAATTTCACGAAGTCTGCTTTGTGAAGCTTCGCTCGGGCCCATCTGTGCTGCAGTTCTTCGGGGTTTCTTTTCTTTGGTGACAGTCAGAGCTTAATTTGTGCCAGAACACGCCGGATCAGGATCCGGCACCTCTGAAATCTGATCCGGCACCTCATTTACCAATCCCCCTCCTCAACCGCCCTCCTCCCCCACCCCCACACCCCGCTTTTCACTTTCATTCACGACACCCCCCCACACACCCCCAATCTGCATACTCCACATGTCTTAATTCGATTTCTCTTTAGTTAGATTATGACCTTCAGATTAATCAAAAATTGCTGTTTACATGGTAGATTCTTAATCAGAGTATTGTCTTAATCGCATTAAAATCGAAATATTGGTGTCCATGTAAATGTACTTAGTGATTTGTTCTTTAGCAATCCAATTGGGAAAAGGAAAAAACAATCTTAAGTTAAACAGGCTAATAATGTTGACCCAGTGGTCTTAAAACTGTTTTTATTCCAGCCAAACTAAAAGAAATAAGACTTTCCCCAGCCAGAAGGAAAAAATATATTAGGAAATACTGTGAAAATGTCATTGGTCTGTTAAACAAGACTGGGGAAATAATTGAAAAAGAATACAAATTTCACAGGAGGGGTTAATAAAAATAACATTATGGGTAAACTCTGCAGTTGACTCCACAAATCTTGTGTGTTGTGAACTGTGGCCCTGGCTCAACTATAATCCAGACTCAATATTAAACATCCTGAGATGGGACTATTGCAGAAGTGCACATTACGTTATGACAAAACATGGACCAAAAAGATCGCAAAAAACACAAATAAAACCTTAAAATGCAATGAACAAAAATATGCAATATCCTACATGCACCATAAAATTTGGAGGATTTTCTGTAAAATAAGACCTTATTTATCAACCTACTCCAAATGTGTGTGACCATGGCACTTCTGAATTCCTCTTTCTACCATTCAGTTTTTTACTTCCTGCCCTCAATCTGAATTTCGCCCGTCACCTGAATTACGTGATTGCAAACAACCTATAGCTAAAATACAACCCCAATTGAAAAGATGTTGGAAGATTTTGTAAAATGTAAAGTTTTATTTTGTTGTCAATGACATTTTTTAAAACGAGCTGCTGAGAATGTCGCACAGCCATCCAAATTTGTTAACATTAACAAAACACACACAACGTTTGATTGAAAATAGTGTATTCTTTTTAATTTTGCCAATTAAATAAGAGTTTAAGACAAACAACAATTTACTTGATCATTCCTGATTTCAGAATTAAGGGTTGTGTAAGTGAATCCACTAACCGTTCTTTAAAACTAAATTCATTCATTTAAAATCAGGTTCATTTGCTTCATATTTACCAGGACTTGGGGGCGGAGCATGTGGTGAAAAGCCTCCATGTGATAAGACAGACTCCCATGAGTTATCATGTGAGAGGGGGAGGGGCATCCAGTGCAGGTTACCGGGGGCAGCGGGCAGAAATATAACATCGAGCATCACTCCATCAGACAGAGCTGTGAAAAACAGGAAAATGAAAAAGGGAAATATTAGACTAATATAATAATACAAGCATAACACCTTAAATGTCCCATGAAGTGCTTTGAAATGTGCAATTTATGTTATTCAATGTTTGACTTAATCTGAAAGACTGAAACATTAAGAGAGGGGGGGGGCATAGAGTAGCCCCTCCCATTTGAAAAAACAACCAATAGTATTTTCTTTTTAATTGCATCTCTGCCAATAAGTGGTTAAGCTCAAGCGCATCAACTGAAAAGTAAATCAGAAGCATTTTGAAAGGGGTGGGGCATTTCAGATACTAGACAGTATTTGATTGGTCAAGATTTGAGAACATAAGAAACTGAAGTATGAGGTGACGTGAAAAAAAATTGCTGGTCTATTTTGGAAGAACTGTAAGTTTTGGATGTTTATATCAGGTTTAAATCTTCTTAATGTGAACTTTATTACTGTTTTGGAGCACACTAGCTTATACACTCACCGGCCACTTTATTAGGCACACCTTACTAGTAACGGGTTAGACCCTCTTTTGGGTTCAGAACTGCCTTAATCCTTTCTGGCATAGATTTAAAAAGGTACTGGAAATATTCCTTAGAGATTTTGATCCATATTGACATAATAGCATCACCCAGTTGCTGCAGACTTGTCGGCTGCACATCCATGATGTGAATCTCCCGTTCCACCACATCCCAAAGGGGCTCTAGTGGATTGAGTTCTGGTGACTGTGGAGGCCATTTGAGTACAGTGAACTCATTGTCATGTTCAAGAAACCAGTCTGAGATGATTTATGCTTTATGACATGACATTATACCGCTGGAAGTAGCCATCAGAAGATGAGTACACTGTAGTCAGAAAGAGAAGGACATGGTCAGCAACAACACTTAGGTAGGCTGTGGCATTGACACAATGCTCAATTGGTACTAAAGAGCCTAAAGTGTGCCAAGAAAATATCCCTCCCGCCATTACACCACCTTCACCAGCCAGAACCGTTGATACAAGGCAGGATGGATCCATGCTTTTATGTTGTTGACACCAAATTCTGACCCGACCATCTAAATGTTGCAGCAGATATTGAGACTCATCGGACCAGGAAACATTTTTTCAATCTTCTATTGTCCAATTCTGGTGAGCCTGTGCGAATTGTAGCCTCATTTTCCTGTTCTTATATGACAGGAGTGGCACCCGGTGTGGTCTTCTGCTGCTGTAGCCCATCTGCCTCAAGGTTTGACGTGTTGTGCATTCAGAGATGCTCTTCTGCAGACCTCGGTTGTAACAAGTGGTTATTTGAGTTACAGTTGCCTTTTTATCAGCTTGAACCAGTCTGGTCATTCTCTGACAGCATCAAGGCATTTGCGCCCACAGAACTGTCGCTCACTAGATATTTTCTCTTTTTCGGACTATTCTCTGTAAATCCTAGACATGGTTGTGTGTGAAAATCAGAGTAGATCAGCAGTTTCTGAAATACTCAGACCAGCCCGTCTGGCACCAACAACCATGCCACGTTCAAAGTCACTTAAATCCTCTTTCCTCCCCATTCTGATGCTCGGTTTAAACTGCAGTAGATCGTCTTGACCATGTCTACATGCCTAAATGCATTAAGTTGCTGCCATCTGATTGGCTGATTATAAATTGCATTAACAAACAGTTGGACATGTGTACCTAATAAAGTGGCTGGTGAGTGTAGATACCCTTAAGACTAACATATTATTACTAACATCTAAAAAAAACTTTATTTTAATTTTGATGCTTTAACTTTTAACAATATATAAAAAATGTCTGTGTGTTTTAAAACGCACCTCTCATTGTCAGAGTAAAGTAGCCCGTGTAGCAGGAGGCAGGACTAAATGAGTCAAGCTCTCTCTGGGGGAGGAGCTTGTGAAAGCTGTTAACCTGCATCCCCACGGCAACAGTCTGAACATGTCTGCGCTCATAAGAAAACACCCGTGGCAAAGTCTCAATGGCGACACGAGTCAGTCCGAGACGTGAAGTCATGGGACTGATGGGTGGAGTCAAGAAGTTTTCGTTGTCGTCGTCTTCATCATCAATACTGTCATCATCCTGCTCTCCCACTAGAAACTCCATGGCTCCATCAAACAGAGAGCAATCTGCAGGGTAATGAAGGCATTTTGGTTGTCACTATTTGATAAGCTGTCTGTGAAATAATGTTGATGTAAAAAAAAAAAACAGCAATTGAAAGGTATGTGTGATCATTACCCCTTTCTGCATCGTCCTCTGTTGTAAGTGGTTGCAGAGGTGGTGCCAGCCTGAGTGAGGATGAATTATAATTTGAGACTATTATTTAAGAATAGCACTAGTTTGACTGTATCAGACAGAAAGCACTCATTCTTACCTCTTTCGAGCACTAGAGCTGCTGAAAAGTTTCCGCTTCACAGGTGTTCTGTAAGGTTCAGACCTGCGCTTGACACAAATATCAATGATCTTAATGGACAGTTTATCCAGTTATGAAATGTAGTTAAGGGATTAGTTCACCCAAAAAAATGAAAATTCTGCTATTAATTATTCAATTATTCTTTTTTTATCTTCCGAACACAAATTAAGATTGTTTACTTGTATTTTTTGGATTAAGCCTACTTTTGAAAGGTTATTGAACTACTTTTTTGTGTGAGACAAAAAAAAAAAAATTTGTACTTAACTGCTTAGTTTTTTGTTGTTGTTGTTGCTTTTTTTTTAATTCAAATTGATCAATATTCATTTTTTATATATTTTATATGATTTGTGTATTTATTTAAATTGTTATTTTTGTTTGATTCCTGATTTGATGCCTTAAAGGCCACCTATGGTGAAAAATCTACTTTTCAAGCTGTTTGGACAGACATGTGTGTAAGTATAGTGTATAGACCAGGGGTCACCAAACTTGTTCCTGGAGGACCGGTGTCCTGCAGATTTTAGCTCCAACCCTAATCAAACACACCTGAACAAGCTAATCAAGGTCTTACTTGGTATACTTAAAACATCTAGGCAGGTGTGTTGAGGCAAGTTGGAGCTAAACCCTGATGGGACACCGGCCCTCCAGGACCGAGATTGGTGGCCCCTGGTATAGACTGTCATATTGGTGTGATATAAACACACCAAGTCCTTTTTTTTTTTTTTAAATCAATTTAACAACATAAAGATGGTGGACCAATTAGAGCAGTTTTCAGACTTGACCACCGAATTGATTGACAGCTGCGTATTAACATGTCTCCGTAGTCACGTGTATAATCATATCAACAAGAGGGAACGAGCGCAAAGCAACCGGGAATACAAGATCTGTTCAGTTTACTAGGATCATCAATCATCATCAAATGTGATCAAGAAGAGTGAGTTTAAAATGTTTTAAAACAGTGAATGTGTGAAATGAATTACAGCCATTTGCTTCAGCTCTACTCCATCAGCACAGCCACGTGACAAAACAATTATAAAGGAAGACGCTTCAATCCCGGTTTGTGGACGTTAAATCAGGCTTATTTTGTACATTAACAGAACAGATATCCATACAGTAGTGGAGATTAACCTGTATCATGTCACATTTGCATGCAAAAAGAGTGCAAAGCTAAATACGCGCGCTGTCTGTCTGTGTGTGTTGTCTGACGCAGCCGAGGGAGGAGATTAAGGCACGCAGAAAGGCACGTAGAAACAGTGAGCGGGGAGGACAAGCCTTAAAGGTGCAGTACAACAAATCCGCCTTCTGCTGCAAAAATGCATAAAGTAGAATCTTATAAAAGGTATAATAAATAATCTGATGGGTGTTTTGAGCTGAAACTTTACAGACACATTCTTTAGACACAAAAGACTCATATTAAATCTGAAAAAAGGGGTAACCTAGGTGCCCTTTAAAGGTCCAGTGAACTGATTTGAAATATGCATTTTTATTCAATGTCCGACGTAATCTCAACCAAAACATAAATAGAGGGTGGGACATATTGTAGCGCCTCCCCTTTTTAAAAAACAGCCAATAGTGTTTTGATTTGTCACAGCTCTGCCAGGAAGAGTGGTTGAGCTCAAGTGCATAAAATAAAAAAAGCAAATGAGAAGCCTCTTAAAGTGGGCATATCCAATACTAGAAAGCATTTGATTAGTTATGATATCATGAGTAACACTGAAGTATGCAGTGACATGAATAAAACCGTTGATCCATTTAGTTGGAAGTGACAGACTACAAGCTTTACATGTTTATATCAGGTCTATATCTTCTTTATAAGAAGTTTTGGGGCACACTAGCTTATAGATATATTAAACATGAATAATACTGATACTAACATCTAAAAAACTTTATTTTAATTTAAACATGATTTATGGTGTTGAAAAAGTTTGTATTTTGTGTGTTTGTTTTGTGTGAACACAACTTGAGTGCCAGTGTGTGAACGGTAGTTTAATAATAGACCCTGAAGTTTTTTTTTGTTTTTTTTTTACCAAAATGGCAGTAAAACTTTGGCACCCCAGTACACTTAGTCCAGAAAAATAACCAAAAATATATATATAAAAAACATTCTACGTGACTTTAGTGTTTAAACTGTAATTATACGGAGTGCTCCAATAACACGTGCTGAAAAACCTGTAACTGTAAATACTGTTAGCTAATGTGCAGAGTGCATTTTTACGATGGGAATGGGCAATACGACGCTTGCATGTTGTGCTGCTGATTCTAATGGCAATACGTCATAAAAATCAGGCAGGCAGACGCCTTCAGCACTGCTCATGTATTTAATTACATTTAATGTTAGTCTTTTTAATTAAGATGATGTTTTACTTGATAAGATTACAAAAATAATGCAAAATGTGTTTGTTTCAAGTAAGAAAAATGTCATGATCGGGATGCCACCTCATTTTGAGCCAGAAAAAAATCCTTATGCATACATTTCTGATGAAGAAATCATGAACTACTCAATATTTATCACATCAGAAAGACAAAAACACACACGCACCCCTCCCTTTGCCGTGGCACTCTAGGGCTAAGTGGAGCTGATGGAAGATCTGAATACTGGTATCGTCCAGTGGCCTATAAAGAAGAAAAAATAGATATAAAACAGGAAAACTACTGCTAGAACATTTGAGGTTAAAGAAGTGTTATTTTTTTCTGGTTGTTATGGAAACATATTCTTAATTTAGCAAGAAAAATGTAAAATATTAAATGTATAAATATTATAAAGTAAAAAGTGCAGCCTTGATGAGGATAAGAGCTTTCTGTTAAACGCATCAAAAATATATATTTTTACCCTATTTATAGGGATAGTTCACCTAAAATGAAAACTCTTTACTTTATTCTTTACTTTGGAATTTGATGGGTGTTAGCAACCAACATTCTTCAAAATATCTTCTTTAGTCTTCAACAACAACTGAAAAACAAACTCACAAGGCTTTAAAACCACATGAGGAAGAATAAATGTTAAACTATCCCCTTTTATCCCCTTTATCCCCTTTGGTTTGTAAATCTACAGGGTGGGCCATTTATATGTATACACCTGAATAAACTTATAGGAAATTTCACAAGATAAACAATGATGTGCTTTATTCTTTCATGAGTTATTTACAAGCCCCCTCACACATACTAATGTGCCACAAACAGGAAGTTAATATCATTAACCATTCCCATTTTATTAAGGTGTATATATATAAATGGCCCACCATATATGTATATACTGTATGCGTGTACCTCTCGATGATGGTAGCAGGCTGCAGTGATCACACACTGAATAGCAAACCGCTGCTTTTCTCTATAATTTAACTTCTCACACTCTAATTTCATCTCTCCTCCGCTGATGAGACCAGCTTCTCCTTCACAGGCACATTGAAAATAATTTAACAGACATCACTACATGCATCATTCAATCCAAAAACACATATTTTTGTATATATCTGTGCTTCCTTACTTTGTTTGCTCTCCATGAAATAATGCAGTGAAACAGGAAGAGGTGGGTAGCTGAAATATCCACCAACCACAGCTCTGTCCAGCAGACTCCTCTCATCCACCTGCCTCAGCCAGTGGAGAAACCGTCGGATGGGCCGTATGCCCCTGTATGGCATCACAGGGCGAGACCCTGTGCCTGTTTTAATATTTGAAAATAGTTTTTTGGAAATTAATTGGATTCATCTAATTCCACATACTGTAAATGTGTGGGATAGTTATCCCAAAGTCTGTCATCATTTTTTCTTATGAACACAAAAGATAATTTGAAGAAAGTTGGAAACACGTAACCATTGACTTTCATAGCACTTGTTTTTCCTACTATGAAATTCAATGGTTAAAGCTTTTTTCAAAATATCTTCTTTTGTGTTCAACACAATACAGAAATTTGAGAGTGAAATTTAGAGAGAGAGAAATTTATTCACTTAAGAGTGAATAAATAGTGTGTAAATATTTATTTATTGGGTGAATTAGCTCTTTAAAAATAGTCTTTCTGGTTTTTTTTTTTGTTGTTGTTGTTTTTTTTGTGTAACATGAGGATAAAAGTATTAAAGAGCCCCTATTATGGCTTTTTGAAAATGACCCTCCATACATGTGCAATAGCTCTAAGTCAGGGGTGTCCACACTCGGTCCTGGAGGGCCGGTGTCCTGGAGAGATTAGCTCCAACTTGCTTCAACACACCTGCTTGGAAGTTTCTAGTATACCAATTAAGAGCTTGATTAGCTTGTTCAGGTGTATTTAATTAGGGTGGAAGCTAAAGTCAGCAGGACACCGGCTCTCCAGGACCGACTTTGGACACCCCTGCTCTAAGTGAAGTGAAACATCCAGCTAAGGCTTAAATCTAAAAGTGCACAGTGTTTAAAACTATTGATTTATCTATAATAAGAGTCCACTCATAGTGGTTCGAATGAATTGCCGCGGTAACGAGTCTTTAGCCGTGCCGACGTGACATCGATATGGAACTCAAGCCCCGCTCATTTGTTGCGTGCAGACCTGGGAAAATTAAAACCCCCGGCCCCGCCCACTAACACTGTAGAAAGAAAAAGAAGAAGACAGACATTGTAGCAGATCCCGGTTAATTCATGTTGTGAAGACGCTGTGCTCTGAAGTGTGAGGGAAAGTTATTTTCTCAACTTAAAGATGAGGCTGTGAAGAGTCAGTGGTTGAAGTTTATTTTTGCAAAACGTACCTCAGCATTATAGCCCCAGCCTTGTGCTGTGTTCTTGTCATTTTTCTGACGAGTGCTTTAGCAATCTAAAAGCTTACAACGGGGCATTCATCAGCTGTTTGTTAAATGAAGGATCAGAAAAGACTATTGATGTGTGGGACTTTGTCAGAGCTTGACAGGAACTCTAGCTAGCAAATTATGTTTTTAGTTGTGTTTTGTTACTTGTCATCGCTTGTACTGTATCTGGTTAACTCTTTATATTCTCATATCACGTCTAAAACCATGTTGAAAACGTGACGCGTTGTTTATGGATTTGAATGCGTTTGTGAGCTCGCGATCCTCTGCCGTTTGTCGTTGCTATGGCCACCATCAGCTGCTCCTACACACGTGCAGTGCTCAAGTTTCAAAATAGTTCAGCTTTTGCCGCTGTGTGGATTAATACTGAATGTGTGTCATGGTTAAAGGGTCACGAAACACCAAAACACATTTTTTGAGCTGCTGACAGTCATATATGTGTCCCACATCGATAAAAACACTATTAGGACACCTATATTTAACTAAAAAGTGAAAATTGTTTGTTTTTGAGTTGTTCCGAGCAAATTCGTACTTCCGGTTTGAAACAAATTTTTGAAGCTGTGTCACGGCCATGAGATCTTAGCGTTTATTCCAGCGTGTAGACTGGACGTCTGTACATGGGAGTTCCTTATTGCATCTCTGAGTGTGTTGCATTCATTATCGAGTATGACTTGGATCAAACCAATCAGCATGCTCTATTATGTATGCGGTGCAACTTCATGAATATGCATGATAGCTTCCAAGACTTTTTTTACCAGTTACAGTGTTCAGACGGCAGAGAGATGCCAAATTGTGTTGCCAAGCGGGAGAACATTAATTGTTTGGAGATACGGGTCATCAGTGTTGCTTTTATAATTTGCTGCAGTGAAGGTTTTGTTTTCATTTTCCCTCTATGAGAGTGCAGCTGGACTCATGTGTGGATTACAGTGCACGTGACGCGCCATAGAAATATGTATCTAAGGAACATTGTTTTCCCGAGAGTTTTTCTCATCTGGAAATGGTGAAATCCGGATTTGCTGCTTGTCTCCTTTTAATAAAGACGCGGATCCAGTTTGTGTTGATTGTCCTGTATCTACAGATTTGGTAAGTGAGCGACTAGTTGTCTTTGTTTGTTTATTCAGAGGCAAAGTTAGTTCGTATCGTCAGCAGTACTCTTTTAGTGTTTAAAGACAGACATTAGTCAAGTGATTTCTATGATTTCTAAAGTTTACCGTATGTTAACATCACTACAATATTATGGACTGAAAAAATCCACTGTAAATGCTGCTCTCCCAAGTGTAAACACCACAACCAAACTTACCGTCGTGGAGGATTTTTGGTGCATTTTGTGACAGGAATAACAATTTGCTTTCTGATGCTACCTACCAAGCGCATCTACGTTACAGAGAAATGCAGACTTTTTTTTCCTCTCATTCGCCGTGCTGTAACATACATTGCATGAAAGATACACGCTTCCAGCCGTTCCTCGAATCAAATATCTTGTTTGTCATGAGGGGTATGAATGAAATTTTTGAATGAAAGAGCCAAACTGCAGTTAAAGTCCACTATTTAATAATATGGCAAATAATTTGATTACTGATGTCCATGTAAATACAGTCACTGTCTTTCTCCTCTGCGTCTGTGTTTGTTTTGCCTATGTGAAAATCAGATCCGACACTCCCATTTTTATGCAAATTTTTACAGACCATGCCTTTTCCCCTCCTCCGACACTCCCCCCTAAACAGAGCTGGACACGCCCACTTTCCTGACTTTTTCCCAAAGTAGAGGTGTGAAAACACCCTGCTGAAACAGGGATTTCATGGCCATTTAAGAATAGAGCAAATCATATGGGAGTCATTTAGGATAATTAGGCAAAAATAAGTGAATATTATATGACAATGTAAGTGTTTTTTGACCTTACATGAATATCAGTCTGTTGTTGGAGACCCCCGAAACCAATATATGACCTTTTTTAATGTTTAATAGGGGCTCTTTAAAAAAAGCAGTATTTACTAATGGTTCATAAGATTATAAGTGCCACTCAATTTATGCCACAAAAATGTCAACTCAATTGATTTAAAAAAAAAAGGAAACAATGAGAAACAGAAACAAGACCTTAAAGAGGCTACATTTACAAGACATTAATAAAAGTGACAGAAAACAAGTATGTTTTTAGCACACTTTGGAATAAAGCTAGTGTTGGACAAGATTTTACAAATGAAGAAAGTCTCCAACTTTGGAACCAGTTAAAGCATCCTTTCTGAATAAACGCACTTTTACTGACCCAAAACTGCATATGAAATGTCTGATCTACAAAAGTGTTAAGCACAGGTGTCAAATCTAGTTTCTGGAGGGCCGCAGCTCTGCAGAGTTTAGTTCTGACCATGCTTCAACACACCTACCTGTAGGTCAAACAAGCCTTAAGGACTCAGTTAGTCTGATCAGGTGTTTTTAAGTAGGGTTAAAGCTAAACTGTTCAGAGCTGTGGCTCTCCAGGAACTGGATTTGATACCTGTGTGTTAAAGCATGGTATTTACCTGTGCAGTAAACCTGGGTCAGTGAGGTGTTGGTGAGATAATCAAAAGTTGTAGATCCGTCAACTGCACTTCTGATGAGCTTTAATCTGGTGCAGACAACCAGTGCCACTTAAATAAAGAAAAGAAAGCAAAAAATTAAAGTGTGTCTTTAATATAGACAAAAAGAAAACAGTCTATTGTCATACTTGGAGAGATGCGACTCTGAACATCAGGCTGTGATGTGGAGAAAAGTTTGATCATGATTGGCTGGTCTGATGTCCGGTCCACCATCTGGATCCAGCGATACTCCTCCATCTCTGACCTCTGCCCATCTGCAAGATGAAATTTGTTCAGTCCGTTATTTAAATATACATATAATAAATATTTCACTGTTTGCATCTCACCTTTCCTTTTGACCTTTCGTTCTGAACGACCAACAAAGATCACCACACCAATGACATCACAGATGTGGCCTTCTGGGCAACTAGAAATCTCCTGTCTGCAAGACATGATCACTAATGCATTTCTCTGTGTTGTACAAGCAATTGATTTATATTTAAAGGGGTAATATTACGCTTTTCATATCAAACTTCCTTAAGTGGGTAATGTTATTGTTTAAGCATGAAAAAGACTTGCAAAGTTATACCTTTAACTCCAAAAGCTAATTATTCTTTATTCTTTCCGCCACAGCGGAATGAACCACCAACTATTCCAGCATATCTTTTACACAGCGGATGCCATTCTAGTACTGGGAAATGCCCATACACTTTCACACTCATACACTACGGCTAATTTAGTTCATCCAATTCACTAATAGTGCATGTGTTTGGACTTGTGTGGGAAACCGGAGCAGCCGGAGAAAACCCACGCATACAGAGAAAGAACATGCAAACTTTATCCAGAAAAGCCAATTGGCCCAGCTGGGACTCAAACCAGCAACTTTCTTGCAGTGAGGCGACAGTGCTTACCACTGAGGCACCGTGTCTCCTATCTATCAATCAATCAAACTTTATTTTAAAAGCACCCAAAGTGCTATACAGAAGACTAAAACTCAATTGAACATAAAAGACATAAAATAAAATAATAAGCAAAATGTCAACAGGTGTCAAAGGCCAAAGGGAAGAGATGGAGTTCAGGATATGATTTAAAAGCAGACAACGAAGGCCAGTTCATTGTCTGTTTTTGAATCTTATCTTAAACCTTTCTCTTCTCTTTGGTCTGTCTGATACACAGAGGCAAAGCATTCCACCGTTTAGGAGCTGCTGCAGAAAAGGCACAATCCCCTCTGAGTTTACGCTTTGTTTTGAACAACTGATGGGCTGATCTGAGTGCACGAGGTGGTATGTAAGGGTGTAGAAGTTCAGAAATATAAAGTGGAGCAAGACCATTTACATGTTTTGTTTGTTATTGCCTGATTAACTGAGGTATGTTCTGTAAATGCTTCATCCTCTTCTAAGAAGCTCATTTGCATTTAATGAGACACACAAAAACATTGAGTTTTTTTCTTCCACCAAACAAATCTGCATTTACACCATAAATGTAACCCTGGACCACAAAACCAATCTTATGTTGCATGTGTACATTTTTAGTAACAGCTGAAACTCCCACAGCCGTATCACCCTGCAACCCAAGACAGCTTACTCACTTAAGCTAAGCAGGGCTGAGCCTGGACAGTAACTGGATGGGAGACCACATGAGAAAACTAGGTTGCTGTTGGAAGTGGTGTTAATGAGGCCAGCAGGGGGCGATCAACCTGCAGTTTGTGTGAGTCCAAAAGCCCACTATAGTGAAGGGGGCACTATACTGTCAGGGAGCGCCGTCTTTCAGAAGAGAAATAAAATTCTCTTATCATATATCATTTACTCAGATTCCAGATATTTAAATTGTCATATTTCTGACAAATATCATCCGATCATAACAAACCACACGTCAATGGAAATCTCAATGGACTCTTATGACTGGTTTTATGGTCCACTGGAATGAACATGAGATATACTGAGTCTTGGTAAATCATAAGGGGTCATCCCTTTAAGAGCAATAGGATTTTGTTCACATACCCACAAGTGAATGAGTGAGGCAAGTCTGGCAAAGCCCAGTCTGGAGAAATCTGGTTTTTAGGGATGATATAAATTTGGGCAGTGGGGTTCCTGGAATTAAGACTGATCTCTAATGGAGAAACAGAAGAAGGTAGAATGCAAAATATGAGCAACATTCCTGATGTAAACGAAAACAAATACCTAATTCACATAATGTGGCATAGTCTACTGTTCATAGGTTTGGGGTCAGTAAGATCATTACTTTTATCTAGTTACGGCACATTACATTGATTAAAAGTGACAGAAGTTTGTTTGTTTATTTGTGCTTAACGATTGAGAAAATGTATTCAAAAGTGACAGTAAAGATATTTAAAATTTTACACAAATGTATATCTCTGAACTGAAAACTTGCTTCCAAACCATTATGAGTTTCTTTATTTTGTTGAACACAAAAGAAGATATTTTGAAGAAAGCTGAAAACCAGTAAACAAAACCAGTAGAAAAAACAAATAATATGGAAGAATACTATGTTTATAGGATTTCTGCTTTTTTCCAAATCTCTTCTGTTGTGTTGAACAGAAGAAAGAAAGTCAAACAGGTTTGGAAGAAGTGAAGAGTGAGTAAATGATGAAAATGTTCATTTTATTGTGAATCTCTTTAATACTAAAATGATAATAATAATAATAATAATAATAATAATAATAATAATAATATAGTTGATAAACTGAAATTTTAAAAATATTACTGACCTCAAACATTTCATAACTTTAATTGTTAGTTGTGTCTTATGTTTTTCTACCAATGTGTGGCTCTGAATCCTTCCCCATGCGGCTGCTGTAGCTGTCCTTGACTCTGTAGCGACACAATCTTATGACTTGTCCTGGATGAAGGATTCGGTACCAGTCCAGGCAGACTGTGTTCCACAGCACTACACAAGCATTGGCTGAGCCATCGCCAACCTGAAGCTCAGCCTGAGAACACAGAATGACGACAGAAATTACTTTGACTTTAAATCGATGATTAAAGTGAAATTAGGCAATTTAGACTGAAATATGCAGATTATAATATTACTAGCCCCTATTAACTACTAATATTGGGATAGTTGATAGGGATGTTAAACAGTAGCACTGAAGATGGCTTTAGAACTAGTTAAATCTTTGTCTGGAAACATAAAATCTAAAAAAGAAAAGTTAAAACAACAGGCTTAAATATACATCTGTAAATATCAAATAAAAAAGTCTCCAAAACTAAAACAGTGTTAAGTTAAAATAAATTAAGTTCACAAGGGTCATGAAAACATGCATGTCAAAGATGTCTTGATCTTGACCTTATAGGGAGAGTCACATTTCTGATCTGCCTTCCCATAATACATCAGTCTGGATTTATGAAGGATTCGCACACACAAAGCACCCAGGTACTGTCGAGATCCACTCAAGAAATGTCTGCGCACCTTTGCAAGCGAAACTGTGGACCCCATATCTGCCACTAGAAACAAAAGCATACACATTAACATCAACGCTTATCTCCCATTTAGCCATACAAGATGTCTCAAAAACAGTTTGTCCATTGCATTCACACATAAAATGGCATGACATCCACTGTTTCTAGTCAGGCCACAAATTATGGAACAGTTGACTCAAAAATTTAAATTCTGCTATCATTTATTTCAGGAATGTACATTGAAATGTATTTTAAAATAAAATACCAACTACCTAAATTTTATTTGATTATGTATCAAAATAAACGAAAAAATACGGCCACCACGAATGTATCAAAAAAAAAATACTGTATTTTGAAAATGCTACAAAATACTTTAACAAGGAAGCAGAACATTTCTTCACAAACCTTCCATTAACATGCCTCTTCAATCAATCCTGCACAAATAAATTAAATAAAGCAAAACAAATAAAATAAAATAAAACAAAATAAAACAAAAAATGGTGACGCAGTGACGCAGTAGGTGGTGCTGTCACCTCACAGCAAGAAGGTCACTGGTTTGAGCCTCGGCTGGGTCAGTTGGCGTTTCTTTGTGGAGTTTGCATGTTCTCCCTGCAGTCGCGTGGGTTTCCTTCGGGTGCTCCGGTTTTCCCCACAGTCCAAAGACATGTGGTACAGGTAAATTCGTTAGGCTAAATTCTCCGTAGTGTATGAGTGTGTGTGTGAATGAGAATGTGTGGATGTTTCCCAGAGATGGATTGCAGCTGGAAGGGCATCCGCTGCATGAAAACATGCTAGATGAATTGGCGGTTCATTCCGCTGTGGCAACCTCGAATTATTAAAGGGACTATGCCGAAAGAAAAATGAATGAATGAATAAATCAAAAAATTTTATAACATAATAATAATAAAAATTAATAAAATAAAGCAAAACAAAACAATTGAAACAAATACAATGTAATAAAATAAATAAAATAAAGCAACACAAATAAAAACAAATAAAATAAACAAAAAATGTATTAAAATACATTTATCCACTGTGTAAAACATATGCTGGATAAGTTGGTGGTTTATTCTGCTGTGGCGACCCCCGATTGATTAAGGGACTAAGCCGAAAAGAAAATAAATAAATAAATGAAATGAAGCAAAACAAAACAATTCAAACAAAAAATGCAATAAAATAATAAGTTCACCTAGATGAGGAGGTATTCATAAAAATGTAACCTGTGTTTCTATTTGATTTTAGTAGAAATTTTGTACAAATTTTATACAGAAAATCCTGTCCAGAAGATGATCTCTTTAATCAGTGTAAAAACCATTCAATGCATATATTGAGCTGGAATATAGCACTATATACTTCTCTAACTCTATCTATAGTGAAAACCTCATAGCAGTCTTATATTTTAAAATGGTAATACATGAAAAGTTCATTTAAATTTTTTGCTTACATAATTTGCAAAATAAATCTAGTTGTTTAAAATGTAACAATTTAAAGTCTCGATTTCTGAAATCTACTAAAATCTTAGTCATTTCCATATATGATGTTTTTTTGCAACTGTACTCTTCAATAGGCATGGGACGATAACCGTTTTCAAGGTTTACCGCGGTTTGGAAAAGTCAAAGTTTTAAAACCGTCAACATTTTCTGCAATACTGTTCCTAAGGTATGTGTAATATTTTTTTTATTTAATTTTAAAAAATTTTTAGGACAACAATGTCTCCAGTAGAAAAAAATATCCAAAGGTGCCTTTTATATGTAAATAAATCTGTTTTTGAAACAAATGAAGACAGCAAAAGTCTGACATGTTTACAGTTCCAAAGTATTTTAAATGTTTCTCAAAAAATATTTTGTGTTCAAAAGAGAAAACAGTTTTTGTTTTTTACCCAGACATTTAAAAAGAACTTATTTTAGAGCAGCAAATCACAATACCGCGAAACCATGATATTTTTATCCAAGGTTATCATACCGTCAGATTCTTATACCGGCCCATGCATACTCTTCAATACACAATATCATGTTGTTTGTCCTATTTTCCTGTCTTATTTTGACTTGCTCCTGAATCTACCCATTCGTCTGTTATTTTCTTTATATGTGTTGCATAATTTTCATCCATACATCAAGTATTGATCAACTTCTTCAATATTAATCAACTTTCTGGTCTAGTTTTGGCAAATGACAGAGAAAACACCACTGTTAAAGGCCACATTTACATGATGTCATCATTTAGACTTACAAAGTATTTTACAGTATTTTAAAAAATACAAGACACTAAAGTATTTTATACAAAATATTAAGCCATTTTCATAAACACCGTCAAATACAAATTACAAAATACTATTTTTTATTTAAAGTACATATTTGAAATACTTGTATCATAAGTACGGCCTATCCCTGATTTATTTATCATTTACCATTGATCTCTCATGGTTTTGAACTATTCATTGTAAACGTTTACTGTTTTCAAAGTAGTATTTTGTAAATTGTATTAAACCCTATAACGTCACCCAGAACACCTACATAATAAAAGAGTTGAGGGTATTTTAGAAGTTAGAATCTCCACAATTATATTTGTCAAAGCTTCAAGACTTTTCAGTAATTAATTCCCAGGAATAGCCTATATAGATATATAATTATTAAATAAATAATTTATGATGCTTTTTAACTTAATTTCTGATTTAAGTTTGAGAAAAGTCAACTGATGCAGGGGCTGTCTATAAGAGTGACTCCACACAAATTCTGACTAGAAAGCAAAGTACCAGAGACACACACCGTCTATCTCCTCTTCAGAGTCCTCCGCGTCGGGCTCAGAGGGCGGCGTGTCGCGCCACATATCTCCACAGAAGTCATGGTTGTTCCACAGCGGCAGATAGGAGGTCCTGCGAGCTCTGAGCGGACCTGCTCGCGGCTCCCCAAACATCCAGGGAATGGTCCTCACATTGACGGATGAGAGCGCCCGGAGAGCAGCATCCCCGCCGTAGAGTCGGTCCACCTCCAGCCCGCAGACGTGGAAACTCTCTCCGTCTCCAGCGTCTGCATCACCGCGGCTGAACTCCACATTCCGGACGACGGAGCCGCAGTGCAGTTTATTCCTGCTGATGAGCTTGTTTATAGCGAGATCCAGAGATACGCGGATCTTACAGTCTCCGTCCGTGAGAGTGGCGTCAAACAGGCTCTCTGACATGGAGATGCTGTCCGGAAAGCGGATGCTGAAGTCCAAGTCTTTGCCGTAGCGGTCCAGAGAGATCACGTACAGCGGCTCGGAGCGGGTTCGGGCTCTCGGCGATCCGACTGTGTTGGATTTTAGGCGGTTTAAAGTGCTTTTGAGCGGGCATGTCTCTGAGGAGCCGCCTGACAGCGCCGCCATGATTGTGCGACATCAAAACACTGCCGCGGTGCATCGTGGGAGATTGAGTACAGCACAGAAAGAGAAAACGAAACTAAAATATATGTAAAAAAAAAATGACAGAAATAAATTAAAATAAAAAATAAATTAATAAAAGTTTTATAAAATGATTTATATTAAAGACAATTTAAGAAACACTAAAAAAACTAACATTTAAACACAAATAAGTGAATTTAAGAAATTAAATTAAAGGCACAATGGGTAAATGTGTAACAACTATTGAAATAAATTTTTGAAAACATTTAACATTATAAAGGAGAAAACCCAACATTTGAAAAAGCAGGAAGTCATAAAAAAGGTTTGAATAAGCCCAAATTGAAATGTAAACCTAAATCAAATCAAATAAATAAATCAACAAGCTAATAAATAAGTTAACAAGCAAATAAATTGAGAAACAAGCAAATAAATAGGATAATAAATAAGCAAACAACTAAATAACTATAAGCAAATAAATAAACAAATAAGCAATTAAATTAAGAAACAAGCAAATAAACAAATAACTAGCAAATAAATAAATAGGAAAATAAGTTAACAAGCAAATAAATAAATAGGAAATAGATTATACCTACATGTGTGTAAAGGTTTAACCAATTATATTAATAGATCAGAATTTCATTATTTCGCAATATGTTTATAAAGGACGGATTCAATCTTGAGACATCAAAGGCACTTGCAGGCTTGTAGCCAGCCTGATGAAAGGGGTGGTTCTTTTTTTCTTATAAAATTTACCTTTTTGCAGTTATACGCCTCAGTTTCTAGTTAACTATGAGATGTACTGCAATTTATTATTTTATTTTATTTTTTTGCTGGATTAACTAGTCAGATGTCATCATAACCAGACTTTATGATGTACTAAAATATTTCCTAAAAATTGCAATTAAAAAAAATTTAAACAAGAGTAATTTTTAAAATACAAACTTATTACATATAATTATTAGGAAAAATAGCAATCTGTTAAAGTTTTAAAGTAAAACAAAACTGTAGCCTACTATCATTTACTAGGCAAAAAAAAAAAAAAAAACTGGCCAGCACATTCAACTGTCCTTAGTCACAATATGGCCATTTCAATAAAAAATTAATAATTAAAACATAATAATAATAATAATAATAATAATAATAATAATAATAATAATAATAATAATAATAATAATAATAATAATAAAACAATTATGATGAATTCTTCAGAGTTTTCTAGTCTCTTTGTTGAAAAAAAAGCACATTTGAAAATTCCTAGAAATCAACAACAGCCAAAATATGTTCAAATTATATTATATATTCTGGTGCTTCACATCTTTTTATTGCTCATTTTTATTTCAGAAATAAGGTCCAAGATTTAGAATAAAGTTACCTGTAAAATGTTTTCTCTGTTTATATAAACAATATAGTTGTAAAAAAAAGACTTCTCTTACATCAGATTATAGCCCCACCGAAGCAACAGCCGACAAAGGATTCCGTCTTAAAGCCTTTTTCGATGGATTATTTTTATTACTTATGATGGCATAGCAGTCAAAATAGGACAAATGAGCTCATGTATGAGACAAATTCTGGACCTTTGTCAGTGAGGGTGGGCCTTCCAAACCCCCCTGGCCACAGGCCTGAAGAGTTAGAACATGTTTTATGCTTATAGTAAACATGTTTTTAATAGAGTTTTGGCTGTAAAAGCGCACATGCAGGTGTTTCATGCGCAGGTCAGATTTTCTCCTGGTCATAATTTAATTTATTTTTATTAATTTTGTCTAAAAAATGATTAGACCTGTCCAGTTTCATCTAAAATGTATCCCAGATCACCTTCTGAAGTGGTTTGAGTGATCGGATATCTGATCAGAATAAAACGAATGAAGTGAGCAAACAGCCTCATAAACACAGACGTGATGGGATTATATATATTGAATATAAATGCATTATATTAACTGCATAATAAATATATAATATTAAATTACATAAAATAATTAAAAGAACAAATGGTGGACCTTTTGGCCGTGGGGGGTGGTTAGTAGCAAGAAACATGCTATTAGGTTATGTGGCCGCTAGATGGCGATCTTGGATAACAAGCTTGCCACCACTAGGAGTTTGTCCGTCAGTAATGTTCTAATGTCCCGCATCTGTCTTTAATTATATTCATCTGTCTCAATATTCTACTGCATCCCAAAATATTACACAGCACCAAAATGTAAATATGTATAGTTAATATGTTTTTGTCCAGAGCCTACACGACTCTCCGTGACGGAAATTCCCGAGCCTGTGTCCTCCAATGAGATGTGCTCTCTTCAGCGATCACCATGACAACGAGACTCATACACTCAGCAGTGACGTCGCATCATAAACATTTGCATCTGCATTCCTATAAAGCTCGTCGGTTCTCTCTCAATGTTGTCAGTTCGCTCGGTGTTGCTGTTTCTACCTGACCAAGGTGAGTTCAATACCTGACGGTACGAGTGGAGCCACGCCAATCTCACGAAGTCTGCTTCGTGAAGTTTCATTCGGGCCGTCTGTTCCTTGCGGTTTGCGTATATAAACGCAATATGGCGAATAATATTACGTGTTTGTTGCTTAAAATGTGCCGCCGAGCAACATTCCAGTGAACACTGGCACGGACTCGGTTAGCTCGTGCACTCCCTGGGGCGATGCGGCTTGTGAACCCTAGGCAGGGATCAATACAAGTCGTGAAGACCCTCAGGGAAACACGGGAGGCCGGTAGTGGGACCCCGCTGCGAGGGTTATGGTGGGTGGGAGCATCGTCTATTTTAAACTATAGTTTCAAACTATAGTCACTATAGTTTAAAATAGAAACCATGGTAACTGTAATGTTTTAACTGTATGTCTGGCTGTTGTAATGTTTTGCTTTGTTTTTCAGCAGAGCTGTTGAGCAAAGAAGGACTATTGAAGACAACCGCGGGTTATATTCATGAGCGCGCATTATAATGTTTTCTGTTTTCTGAAAGTTTATCTTGTTTAGATAAGTTTGCAGGTCAAACAAAATAAACTATACTCTTTCTAAACACCTGTCTCGTGTTTTATTTGTCCTCTACAGCAATACACTGTCATATAAGTCTGTTGAATGCATTTGTATGCAATATGGTTTGACAATAAAGTAGTGTAACAAATAAATAGTTGGTATAAATGTACCTTCATTAGTCAACATTTGGTGTAGGTAATAAAAAGTTAATCAAAGATGTCCTAAGACATAATGGTAATGGTATGGTTGTTACATAACTGTATTTATTATTATTCTGTATATTTAACACCAGCAGAATATACTATATATTTTACTATAAATATACTATATTTGCTTAATAAAAATGTCCTAAGACAAGAATGGATTTTGTTTTGGTTTTACATCAAACTACTGTAGGTTTCAGGTTGACTACAGCAGATATCTATATCATAATATTGGCACTCAAATCAAGTAAAATGTCTCGTACGCAAGTACTTTTAGCATGCGAAAGTCAAATTTAAGTATATAAAATGCAACAACACAATTTTGTCTTGTGAAAATGATCAGTGGGTGGTGAAAAAATGTTAGTCAAGTTTTATATATAATAGAAGCTGAACAAGTTGTCATAATATTTAGTCATAATGCATTTTTCTATACATTTCCATTAGACTTTTTTTACTAAATCTATAATGGGTATGTTGCTCCCAGGTCAATCTTGACTTTGTCTGATAAAGGTGAGGTGTATCTGAAGGGAGATTGACTTATGTTCACATTTCTACTTTTGTTCTGGTTTTTGTCCTATGCAATGCCATCATTGATTCTGTTTATTTACTTGTGTAAATGTGTGTAAATCTATATTCATTCAGTTTTTAAATTACTTACAATAATATTATTGACTTAATATGAAAGTATTCATATCAATTTACAATACAGTTTGTACAGTAATATTTTCTGTCGTTTAGTAGATATATTATATGAAAGACTTGCTTTGTTTACTAAATAAAGAGGATCTAATTGGATTTGCATTGTAAAAATTAAAGTTAAAAAGGTATTACTTTTTATTATAAAGAGTTTAGTTATGATACTCAGAGTTATTTTAAATTACACTTTAATATAATATATATATATATATATATATATATATATATATATATATATATATATATATATATATATATATATATATATATATATATATATATATAAAATATGTTTTTATTAATTATATAATAAATATATTATATAATATTAAATTACATAACATAATTAAAGGAGAAATTCTGAACCTTTTGGCCGTGGGGTGATTCGTTCGAACCCGAACCCCCCTGGCTACTACGGGCATGACTTGTGATAAAGACCCTATGATATAAAATTACTAAATAAAATAAAAATATATAAATATCATAGAAAAAGTAAAACAAAACAAAAAAATATAAACGATAAAATATGCCATAATGGAAAATTTAAAATAAAAAGGGAGAAAGATTGGCAGCACTTAGAAATTCACCGTGATGTAAATGACGTTCCCATGGCAGATAAAAACCAAAACACAGACAGGTCGCCATCTAGCGGTGACTGTGCCTTACTGACTGATGCACAGCACTGCTTCATCTTCCACTCAGAGAAAACCTGCAGCTCAGACGCTCCTGGATCGGGATAGATAATATATCAGAAGATATACAAGTCAAGTTACGTCTTATACATATTAAACCCTGCGACATGGATCCAATGTATTTCCCGTTCTTTTAAAAATAAAGTTCAGAGCAGAAAACTACTGACTGGACTCTTTAATGTCATGTGGAAATATTACAGAAACGGAGTTGTGCCGAAAAGAAATAAGCAGAAATCGGTAAGTTTGTATTTTTAGTTCAATATATTCGCATCACTCTATAATGCTGGGTTGTTGTAACACGTTGGGTCTAATATGAACATTGGGTAAAACCCGACAGTCAACTTTATCAAATGACAGGACGAGTGTAGGGGAAAGTGGGGCACAAAGTAAACACTTTTGGTTTATCATACATACATATATATATATATATATATATATATATATATATATATATATATATATATATATATATATTTTTTTTTTTTTTTACCAATAACACACAGGCCTCTCCTAAAAATGATCACTGGACCTATGGTTTCTGTGCAGTACTGCCAAAAGTACCAGGAGTAAAAATTTTACTATTTACCCTACCTGGGGGACAAGCTGTAACAGACAGAGGGTTACTTGTAACACATGCATTTAAAGACAGATTTCACACAAATTAATTTAAATTCACTTTACTTTAAATAGTAGCTATATTTCCTTAGTAATTGGCTCATTTCTTTTTTTATTCTACATAGCACAGTATGTTTATTTATTTATTTATTTGTTTATTGGATAAACACATTTAAATCTATTTGCATTATTATCCATTTATCTATTATTTTACAATGTCTGTTTGCTTGTATAATTTATTGTCCCTCAAGGGGAAATTTTCTGTGCACTCACACAGCACATCAGCAAGTTCTGACACAATAACAATTAAAAATAAGCAAACATCCAAAAGAATTACGTTACAATTACAATGCATTTATTTGCATTATTAGCAATAAAATATTTTTTCTATTAAAATATTTTCTATTAAAAAACATTGTTATTAGAAGTTCTCAACATTACACTCAAAATTAAAAAATGTCCCTGCTGTGTCGTGTTTTCCTCAAAACTAGCTAGCAGTCGCTGTGTTTGTTACACCTTTCAAAATGGTTTAATCTTTTAGCCTAGAAGACTGTGATCACAACAATATAAGATATTACGTACATACATTCACAGAATTTTTTTAAATAAAAAAATAGACTATAATAAAAAATACTTTTATGCTGCAAAAATGGTTTCTCGTGTGTTTCTCATCCAATTTCGCTGAACTTTTTCAATAATTGGCAGGAAGACGTCTGCTGACATTGGGGTGAAACCTCCGAAGCATGCCATGGTTAACCCTGAGCAAATACCTTAAAACTCTGTGTTACATTTAACCCAATTAAACTCAAAATGTACTGAAAGTTAATTCTACTTATTTGAAAAGAGTTCTGAACTCAGTGTTGAACTCATTTAAATAACTCGTTACTTCAACTTAAATAGAGTAAGTTCACAGTCTCATATAGATTTTTTTTTAACTCAAACAGTTTGAGTTGACTTAACTTATTTGGTTTTACAGTACTCAGTTGGTTTGAGTTCTCTTTATTTATCAGGTTTTACTGTGCTCAAATTGCTTCATTTACTCAAATGGAATAAGTTCACAGTACTTTTTAGGATTAGATTTTGAACTTAAATGGTTTGTTGCAATCTCTTTCCTCAAATGGTTTGAGTTACCATAACATTTTGTTTTTTTCAGTGCATATTTCTTAACACAAAATTTGACATGATGTTGAGTTATAACATTCCAGCAATTTTTAGAGTGTGCAATGAATTTCTCAGTACTATTACAGTTTTTTTTTTGTAAAGAAATGTTTGAACTTAAATGGATAAACATCTTTAAAAAAAACAACACACCGCCAATAATGATAATTTACTATTAATTAACTTTTTTAATCAGTTAAAGAAACCTTAATTTTTTTTATATCTTTCATATAAAGCAATTAAGAATCAAAATATTCCATACAGACCAATCTAGATTAATACCAATTACTCCTGACAAAAAATAAGGGAGTTTTATGAAGTAAAAACAATTTAAAGATCATTTATAACTTAATTACAGATTAATCACCAACTTAATAAGATATTATTTAATCCTTTTACTTGAAAACTTTCATTTTGGGGGCTGAACTATCCCTTTTAACATTATATTCAACCAAAAATGTCAATTTTGTCATTAGTTATTCATCCTTCATTGATTCCAAACCAGTTTGAGTTTTTATTATTATCATTATTATTCTGTTGAACACCAAACAAAATATTTCAAGAATGTTGGAAACCGGTAATCACTAACATCCATAGTATAGGAAAAACAAGTCAATGGTTGCCATGTTTCCAACCTTCTCAAAGAAAATCTTCCTTTGTCTTTAACAGAACAAAAAAACTGGCAAGTAAAACATGCAATTAACATTTTATCTTTAAGACCCATTAAAGGAGTTTTATTAAAAAAATAAAGTCCATATGTATATATATATATTTATATATCACTATGTGTTTCAACTGAACAGGACAATGAAGTTGTTAACCTTCCTCCCATTCCCAACGGGATTACCACAAAGCTGGCACCGGTAGGCATTTTCATTGTTTAATGATTGCTCTTTTTTAATGAATATTATTATTATGAAATCTCCTCGGATTTGTGACAGTTTCTTTGTTTGGCAGTGGAAGGCTCTGCATGAGCTGTAACTCAATCTGTTAATTTAGTTTTGCTAAGTCGGCTTCTTGTGTTACGGGAGCTGTTTGAGCAGCACACTTTACTGCTCATCTCATTTAAGATGCATGACTTCTGCTTCTTCAGGATCAACAAAGCAACATCCAGAGCACAGCACAGAGGCTGCAGGAGCTTTTCTTCTCCTCTCAGGCTCTGAAGGAGCACGGCCTCCAAGATAAAGCCATCCGGAAGAAGGTGCAGAGTCAGATTACTGATAGATAGGATGATATTCAATAATTTGATGATATTCAAAGATTTTGTGATAGTGAAAATGCACAATATCAGTATTATTAATTGTAGTGGCAGTTTTCTTTAAAGAGGCGCTCTCTTTGGTCAAGAAACAAAGTCTTACCCGGGATGTCTTTTCAAAGTTTTATTCTTTGCAAGGAAGGTCACAGTCATACAGCAACAACAGTTTCTGCAGAGTGAGAAACTGAAGTCAAGTGTGTTCACCCTTTTATCTGGTTTTTACTGCTTACAAGGTCAAATCCTAATAATGCCCATTTTGACTACAGTTTCTACAGAATGAGACACTGAAGCAAAGTGTGTTCACCGTTCTATCTAGTTTATACTGCTTGCAAGGTCAAATCCTAATAAGGCCCATTCTGTACGTGCGTCAGGCGCTCCGCTGTTTCTGCTGTAAGTTTCCACTACACGTTCATCTAAAAATGAATTTCCATTACATTAATATAGTGTATTAAGGGCCCTTCACAATACTGTGAATACTTATTTCTTATTTAAAAGATTTGTCTGTCTTTTAAGAAATTTAGATTGTTATATCAGTGGTTTGTTCATCTCAGCACCAATTGCATGCAGACATAATACGTAATTAATTTGTTTTTCCAAATGTTAATCTGGCCTACGACATTAAAAATTTTGTGATTATTTATAGGCCTTTTATTTGTTAACATAAAAATAAAGTCAATGTAATGACAACGACGAAAGCATTTATTAAGTAATGTTAATTATTTAGTTAATGTGGTGGAAAGAGTAGTGACAAATCATACATAAGTAAAAGAGCTATTACTTGCCTAAAAATCTAGAGCAAGTAGAGTAAAAGTATCTGTTGTAAATATTACTCATACTTTGAGTATAAAGTAGATCTTTCAAAAGTACTCGAGAGTAGTGAGTATTTCGCTGTAAAAAGCTGATGCATTTACATGTAATTTGTGGATGTGAGTAAACAAAACTTTTTGTTTTGCCTTTAGTTATTGTCCAGCAGGCACACAACATAATAGGGCGTAAATATTAGATTAGATTTAGTTTGTGATGTCAGGTGACCAAAATTCAATGTCTAGCCAGCGTCTAAGGACAACGTTATTTTGATGTCTAATATTGACGTTGATAGTTGGTTGATTTTAGGATGTGTTAGAAAGTGACCAAAATCCAACGTCGAGCCAACATCTTAAAACAACATCATATTGACGTTAAATACTGACATTTATTTGTCAGTTATGGCAACCAAAATCCAACATCTGATAGACGTCAAAGTGGTAACGTCCACACAACGTCAAGCTGTAACATGATTATACGTTGATGTATAGTTGATTTTAGGTTGCAACTTGGACATTGACATCAGCCTGATGGTGAGTTCTGACGATTTTCATTTCCAAACAAAATGCAACATCCCCACGACATTGGGGTACAACGTCAATCTGACGTCATGTTAATGTTGGCATCCTGTGCCTGCTGGGTGTTTAAGGCCATTTCGTTCGTCATACAGTAAACATCGTCATCTTCTCATCAGTGACATTTCAGTTTTCATTTCAGAGCAGTTTTCATTATAAACATATTTGCAAGCTGTAGTAATATGTTGTGCGGTTCTCTTTATTTATGGGATAGAAATCCACTTTTGGCCACCAGGTCGTTCCTTTGTCCAGAGTGAGTGTGGAAACGGAGCTGGAAATCACAGCTCACCTTAAAGTAAGTGTGGAAAGTTCGAGTTGCAGTTAAGTCTAATCCTGAAGTCAGATAATTAATGACAGCTCTCCATTTCAGATGCTTAGGATTATCAGGCTTAATCCATGTATATTGGTTTGTAACTATTAAGAGAACAAAAGGTCATTATATAAAGACACTTAAATATATAAATATAAATATAACTACTAAAAGACAACTTTTTAAAACATAAAATTATCAAATGTTTAAAAAAAACAGTGCATAAATATTAGGAACAATATGGAAAAACATACATTTACATGTTTGTTTGTGTTTGTGTGTACACACTTTACAAATAAAGATGAACAAAATAAAGTATTATTGAAATTAATATAATAGAAAATTATAAAATGATAGAAAATACCTGAATTTAACTGAAGGAAAATAATTTATTAGTATTTGAACATTCAAAATAATAAGACAGAACACCAGCAACAACAACAACAACAAAAAATAAATATTATTTAAAAAAAAATGCATATAAAATCTCGGTCACACGTTACATGAAGGTTTCATTCAATGCTAGTTAATGTAAAGTATTTACTAAAATTAACTAAATACTTGTACAGCACTTATTACTGATAGCTCAACTTTTATATATTTTTAACATCCAAATTCACAATCGTTAACGTTAACGCACCATGAGTTAATATGAACTAACAATGAACAACTGTATTTTCATTCACTCTCATAAATACTGTAATAAATATACTGTTCATTGTTTGTTCATGTAAGTAAATACATTAACTAATACAACCTTATTGTAAAGTGCTACCAAAATCTTGAATTAACGATCACCTGAGTGTAAGAAATTCCATGAAAAGTAAATAATTCACACAATGATTTCAATCGATTATTAAATTTGATCATGTGACCTGTTCTCTGTCCAGTATCGTTTGCATCAGCGCCACTCGTTCACTCCGAATTCATCACTTGAGGACAAAGCTGTAGTGTTTCAGAAAACAAAAACAGCTTTATTCAAGGTTAGTAGATTGGAATATCTTTAAAGCAGAGTTTTGTGCAGCCATGATGTGATCTTACGTACTTTAGATGCTCTCTTTGTGTGGTTTTAAAGGAGCAGGTTTCATCGAACACTCCTCACCTCCTGCAGAGCATTGTGCCTCTAGAGAAGAAAGAGGAGGAAGAGGAGGAAGAAGAAAAGAAAGCAGAACTAGTGCTCCTTCAAAATGCATCTTCATGTACGGATGAGGCTCCTGAGGGCCAGGGCTCTCTGTCTGAGGGCCCGTTCAGAGATGCTGATGCTAAAAACAAACAGAGATCGCATGAAAGAGACACAAAACAGCAACATCATTCCTTCCTAGACACTCAAAATGATGACGACGTGAATTATAAACAGAGGAGATTTATGATCTATCTTTGTGGTGGATACAAAGGTAATGTGCACGTTGATTGTTTATTTCTTTTTTTTCCATTTGAAGTAGGGCTGCACGATATATCGTTTTAACAGCGATATCACAATGTGTGAGTCTGCAATCGAGACATTGCAGGATATGCAATGTTAAATTGGGATTATAGTCGATCAACAATTGAGAATACATGGGATTTGTGGAGTCATTGCAAAGTATATGTACTGTGTATCGGGACGCTGGACAACGGAATGCGGATCCAAATGCAGGATTATTTATAAGAATGGTCAGGCAAGCAATGGTCAACACAGGGACAAACAAATGTATATGGGCAATCCAGAGTCATGGTCAATAAACAGGCAAAAGGTCAAAAGGCAGGCAGCAGACAACGTAAATAAACAAAACAACAAAGTAATGGTCTAACACGGGAAGGCAAGGAAAATTTATCCTAATGTCACACACAGTTAAACAAGACTAGTGTGTATATCTGTGCTGCTTTTAAAGTCCATGTGATCAGTTCTGAACATCTTTAGCTGTGTGTGTTAGTAATCAGCACCCTAAAGCTTTGGTAACACTTGAGCATGCAAAATTCTGTAGTACGGCGCTGAGAAAAGGGGCGGGATTAAACAAAATAATTAGACATATAAAAACGATTGAACCATGTTTTAAATTTCTAAATTTTTAAATTTCTCCAGAGAGGTCACATTTTGATCCTCGATTGGTCTCACGCAGTCAAGTGATGCTATTGCGCAGGTCAGAGTTCACCAAGCTTTGAACTTTACATAGCAGCAAACTGCGAAACTTGTTGCTCGAGCTTTTGTTTCCGGTCTGAAGCTTTCGCTTGCATATGAACGAAAGTCTATGGGGAGAAATGTCTAGTGTGACCGCAGCTTTACCCTAAACGGAACAGGTGTGAGTGTGTGGTGCATGACTGGATCTGTAGTCCATGTAATGATGGATTTGTAGTTTTTTAGCGATCTGCCAGGATTAGATCGCTGGGGATTGTGACAGTATAACCATAACAGAGTGAAACTTTATCATTTGCATGTGTTTTAAAGGCATTTTAAGCATGTGTAAAGTATTTGAGCACAATACCAATAAACATTTGTAACTTTAATGAAGAGAAAATTTACTGATTTATTAATACAATAAAGACTATAGTGTTATTTTACATTACATTATTACATTTCTTTATCTGAATACTGTTTGACTCTCTGGAAAACGATAAAGAACTGTTTATTTTACTTTTTTCTTTGCTCTATTGTAATTATTCTTATCAATTAAATTTTTATACATAATTCACACCCTTACAAAATCAACCCAACCAATCTAAATACTTTTTTTCCACAAAGAGAGCTGTTCAAGCCATCTGCTGAAATTGTATTCATATCACAATATATATCACAGCAACACAATATATCACATTGTCAGACTTTTCCAATATCATGCAGCCCTAATTTGAAGCAGTTTTTAGTGTCACATGATCTGATTATACATGTAATGGAGGTTAAAATTAGTGAACAACCTAGAATTTACTACTTCCTGTTTTGGGGTGAATGCTCTGTCCCTTTAAAGTTAAACCAGAGTAAAACGTTTTTAAAGCATATTTATATTACATAGATTCAGATTGATAATATAAAAATAAAATTGATGGTTACTTTATGCAATATGAATTCATGAAAAACAATTTATGAATGTCACATATTTCCGAAATACAGTTGAAGGCAAAATTATTAGCTCCTCTGTGAAATTTTAGTTTAATTTTAAAATATTTTTCAAGTGCTGTATAACAGAGAGAAGTTTTTTCAACACATTTTTAAACAATAGTTTTACTAGTTTTGTATAACTAAATAGTTTTGTAATATATTATAAAATTTATTATTAAAATATTGTACAAATAATTTCCTAGATGTTTTGCTAGAGTAATCAGCTTAAAGTGCATTTTAAATTCTTAACTAGGTTAATTAGGCAGTTTATGCTAATTAGCCAAGACATTGGACAACAGTAGTTTGTTCTGTAGACAATTGAACAAATTTATTTTATTTTATTTTATTTTATTTATTTTATTTTTTTAAACCGGCTTTTATAACAGCCAAGTAAGTAAAAAGTAAGACTTTCTCCAGAAGAAAAATATATACACACACACACACACACACACACACACACACACATATATGATTTGAATTTATAATAAATATATTCAAACTCAAATAATAATTTATACAAAAATAAAATTTTGCTCTACAATTGTGTGTACAGATACAATTCCCGAGCGCTGTGCACTGATGGAGAGTGTGTATCCGCGACTGTATCTCCACTGTAAGCAGAGAGGATATGATTTCAAGATGATTGACTTGCGGGCTGGAGTCGGAGATCCTGATTCAGACCGTCATGATCTGGCAGAGATGCACATAGAGACACTCAGACGATGTCAGGACACTGAGGGACCAAACTTTTTTGTAGGATTAATTCCATGTGGTTTATTGGAGTGGTGACTTGAGTATATAATTTCAATATTTAAAGTCTTCCTTTTCTTGCAAGGTGTTCACTGGACAGAAGCATGAAATACTCTCGCTGCCAAATACTATTCCCCAAGCACATTTTGAAGCAGTTCTAAAACTAATGGAGAAAAACAAGAAGAAACTCTACAGGAGACAGTCAGACATGGCGGTGGAGTCGCAGTCCTGTATTATTCCCGCTGACCACAACAGGAGTTTTGTGCTGGAAAGGGAAACCAATTTATCAGAGGAGAAGGAGCTTTCGGAGAGTTCAGCCGTCCTGAGTGAGAACTCGGTGTCCAGCAGTTCAGTGTCAGATAGAGAAGAGACTCCACTGGCTCCGAGCTGGATGGATTATGATCAAGAGCTGACTCTCTTACAGACCTGGTATAAGCTGGACACAAACACAGTTCCTGCTGTTTACCGCTTACTTCCTGTCAGGTGAGTTTTTTTTTAATTTTTAAGTAAGCTATCCCTACATGGTAAAAAATGCTGGGTTCCACACAATTCCTTCATGTTGTCCCAACACAAATCAATTAAGTTAACCGTTTTTACAAATTTAAGTTGACTGAACATAAAACAATTAAGTTGTCCCCCCTAAAGAATTGTGTTGACTCAGTTCATTTTAAACAAAGTCCCTTAATGCAAGTGATTTCACTCTGTGGCCATCTTTGAAACGCCTCTCGGGCAGTATGCTCAGACATTCTGTTTGAATCAAATTCTCCAACACAGCTTGCCAAGCTTACTATTAAATTTAATATTAGGAATCACCAATAAGGAGTCAAGTAATGCAGGCCGTGGGGATAGACGTGCTGTAGCGACCTCCTCTCATTAGCTATAATATTCACCAAATATCCTTCATTAATTTTCCTTACTGATAGAATATCGACATCATCAAGACATCGAAAAGTCAATATTGTTTATGGCGGAACACATTCTGCGTCGAGAAGGACGTAAATTACAACCAGTTTCCAGCATAGCCAAAACGAACGATCTAGACACGCTAGACAACATGGACTTGAACAAGGGACCTTCTTGCTGTAAGGCGACAGTGCTAACCACTGAGCCACCGTGTAGTCACCCACCTTTTTTATATGTTTAATTTCATTTTGAAGGATGATACATGTTGTCCACTATTTATGTACTGTAATACATTGAGTTAAGCATATTTTAACCGTGTAGAATTGAGTTACATCTGAAAATACTATCTGTCTTCTTTCCCTCAGTTTCATCTTTATGTATTAATACCTTTAAATCAGGAACTACTTGCTGAACTAGTTAAAACAAAGGACTATTTGTGATTGTTGTTACTCAGCTTTTTCTTTTCTTTTCTTTTTTTTTAAATAAATCCAGTTTCTCCTTGTTTGGTTCCCATGGCAGTGAATAGAAGCAGTGATTTCCACTGCAAATAACAATACAACTAGCATTGTTAGAACTCTTGCATGAATATACGTGGAATCCTAACTAGTGTTTGTAACTGTAAACACTTCCTATGGCTTCCTATAGACAAAGTTCACTTAAAGCTTTAACTCTTTCATCCTTTAATAATCCCTATGTTGTTCCACATCTGTATGATTTTCTGTGAAACATTTTGAAGTTGTCTATTTTTTTTTAATAAAAGAGATAGATAGATCACCCAAAAAATGACATTTTGTCATCAATTCCTCAACCATCATTTGTTCAGTTTGAGTTTTTTGTTCTGTTGAACATAAAAGAAGATGTTTTGAAGAATGTTCCGGTGAAAACTGGTATCTGTTGACTTTCACACGAGAAACAAATACTACACTGCAAAAAATGCTTTTCTTTCTTAAAGTTTTTGTCTTGTTTCCAGTCCAAATATCTAAAAATTCTTAAATCAAGCAAAATTGTGAAAAAACAAAAACATATTTCAAAGCAAATACTTGATTATTTTACTCTTTTTAAGGAAAAAAACTTAATTTTGACATTATTTCTAAAAACAACACTATATTTTTTACTTGTCTAGAAAATGGTTCTTGAATTTTTTAATGTTTTGATATTTGGACAAAAAACAAGACAAACACTCTAAGAAAGAAAAGCTTATTTTTTGCACTGTATGGAAGTTAATGGTAACCAGTTTTCAGCATTTGTCTAAATATCCTCTCAAATAATGGCTCAGTGGTCAGCATTGTCGTCTCACAGCCAGGAGGTCGCTGGTTCGAGTCTCGGCTGAGCCAAATGTGTTTCCGTGTGGAGTTTGCATGTTCTCCCTGTGTTTGCATGGGTTTCCTTCAGGTGCTCCAGTTTCCTCCACAGTCCAAAGACATGTGAATTGAATAAACTAAGATGGCCATAGTTTGTGTGTGTAAATGAGAGAGTGTATGGATGTTTCTCAGTACTGGAAGGGCATCCGCTGCATAAAACATATGCAGGAACAGTTGGCGGGTTATTCCGCTGTGACGACTCCTGATAAATAAGGGACTAAGAAAATGAATAAATAAATGGTTTGGAACAAATAAAGGTTGAGTAAGTAATGGCAGAAGTGGGTGAACTATCTCTTTAAGAAAGTTAGCATTGGGGTCTTTTGTGTTTGGTTTGTAAATAACTTTGCTCTCTTCATTTGAGTATTGTTTATATTTTAAATGTGTGTTTTTATCGATATAGACCTTTAACATCTGGCAAAGAGACCACCAATGAAAACTTATCTTTGCGTACATTTACGTTCTTATTGATTAAATCAATTATATTTTACCTTAGTTCAAATTACCCAGATTTCCTCAGTCGGGATGGGCACCGCAGGAAGTTGGGACGGAAGGCGTGGCGCTCGTCCTGTGTGAAGCTGTGGAGCGTGCTGTGGCGATCTGGACCGGAGGCCATCGGAGAAGAGGCCACTTGCCGTCTGCTGAGAACAGGCATGTGATTTGCTGACATAGTGAGACACCCTTGAAAATATACATTATTGCAGATTGCCTAGTCGCCAGTCCATCCACATGTGCAGTAGCTGCAGGAGTAGGGATGCAACGATTATAGATTTTGATATAGTCTGAGGAATAATCATGGTTTCACGGTTATCATGATTATTATGCATTCATTAATTTCAAAACACTAGTTTAGTAAATCACATGAAAACACTTTATATTTTAAAGTGTTACTTATTGCTGCTCAGGAACCAATTAATAAGGCCCGAAATAATATTAAAAACAAACAATAGTCAATTTCTCTTTAGACCTAATAATAACAAAAAAAAATTGTCATTTAAACATAAGTAATCATTTTACACTGGAAACAAATGACAGAACAATGAATAAACAAGGGAGTCATGGTGGCGCAGTGGGTAGCATAATCGTCTCACAGCAAGAAGGTCGCTGGTTTGAGCCTTGGCTGGGTCAGTTGGCATTTCTGTGTGGAGTTTGCATGTTCTCTCCGTGTTCATGTGGGTTTCCTCCGGGTGCTCCGGTTTCCCACACAGTCCAAAGACATGCGCTATAGGTCAGTTAAATAAGCTAAATTGTCCCTAGTGTGTGTATGTGTGTAAATGGGTATGTGCGGATGTTTCCCAGTGATGGGTTGCAGCTGGAAGGGCATCCGCTGCGTAAAACATATGCTGGATAAGTTGACGGTTCATTATTAAAGCGACTAAGCGGAAAAGAAAATGAATGAATGAATAAACAAACAAATAAAATATATATATATATATATACTGTCACCGGATGTCAAGGGAGCGAAGACAAGAGGTCGGATCCAAATGCAGTTTTAATGAAAAAGATTATTCGTGCAGGCAAAAACAAATGAGGTCAAAAAACAAGAACTCAGGTATCATGAAGGTCATCAAAAATGCAAAAACAAAGCAATGATCAAAGTACAAAAAGTTAGAAAACAATCATCAAAACATAACTAGAAAAACTAAACAGGACGAAACTCACTGAAACCATACAGGTACTGACAAACAAAGATTCCGCCTAGACTGGTGTGTGCAATGTGTATAAATAGTCCAAACAATTGATGATGACGATATTCAGCTGTGTGTGATTAATGGTGACTGGTTTGTGCAAAGGCATGCTGGGATATGTAGTTCATGAATGACATGTGTAGTATGCCAGCGATCTTTCAGGAACAGATTGCTGGTTATGTGACAGTACCCCCTCTTCAAGAGCGGATACCAGACGCTCTTAGAAAAATCCCGGAGGGAGGTGGAGCAGAGGCGGAACAGGGGGAGGGACGGAGGGCCAGAAACCAGAAGCTGGCCCTACCTGGAGCGTGGAGCTGCGGAGGGCCTGGAGCGTGGAGCTGCGGAGGGCCTGGAGCGTGGAGCTGCGGAGGGCCTGGAGCGTGGAGCTGCGGAGGGCCTGGAGCGTGGAGCTGCGGAGGGCCAGGAGCGTGGAGCTGCGGAGGGCCAGGAGCGTGGAGCTGCGGAGGGCCAGGAGCGTGGAGCTGCGGAGGGCCAGGAGCGTGGAGCTGCGGAGGGCCAGGAGCGTGGAGCTGCGGAGGGCCTGGAGCGTGGAGCTGCGGAGGGCCTGGAGCGTGGAGCTGCGGAGGGCCTGGAGCGTGGAGCTGCGGAGGGCCTGGAGCGTGGAGCTGCGGAGGGCCTGGAGCGTGGAGCTGCGGAGGGCCTGGAGCGTGGAGCTGCGGAGGGCCTGGGGAGTGGAGCTGCAGAGGGCCTGGGGAGTGGAGCTGAGAAGGGCCTGGGGAGTGGAGCTGAGGAGGGCCTGGGGAGTGGAGCTGCGGAGAGTCTGGAACACTGCTGGGAGCCGGTAGGGGTGGAGGCTTGTGGGGAGCCGGCAGGGTGGAGAGCCAGGCTAGGACCAGCAGGGTGAGACGTCTGGGTGGTGCCGGCAGGGCGAGACGTCTGGGTGGTGCCAGCAGGGCGAGACGTCTGGGTGATGCTGGCAAGGCGAGGAGTCGGGCTGGTGCCGGCAGGGCGAGGAGCTGGGCTGGTGCCGGCAGGGCAGGACGTCTGGGAGGTGCCGGCAGGGCGAGGAGCCGGGCTGGTGCCGGCAGGGCGAGGAGCCGGGCTGGTGCCGGCAGGGCGAGGAGCCGGGCTGGTGCCGGCAGGGCGAGGAGCCGGGCTGGTGCCGGCAGGGCAGGACGTCTGGGTGGTGCCGGCAGGGCAGGACGTCTGGGTGGTGCCGGCAGGGCAAGGAGCCGGGCTGGGACCGACACTGAGCGGGGCTCTGGGGCTGGAGCCGACACTGGAGGGCGCTCTGGGGCTGGAGCCGACACTGGAGGGCGCTCTGGGGCTGGAGCCGACACTGGAGGGCGCTCTGGGGCTGGAGCCGACACTGGAGGGCGCTCTGGGGCTGGAGAAACCCTCGCTGAAGAAGCCTTTCTCTTCAGCCTCCGTCTTTGGGTGCGGGTTAACCCTTGGGGGTTGTTCATGGGCTGGGACTCTTCGTGAGACTCGGGCAACAGTGGCTCTGGCAGCTCTGACAGTGGCAGTGCTGGCGGCGGCGTCGACTCTGGCAGCGGCGGCGTCAACGACTTTTGCAGCTCTGGCAGCGGCAGCGGCAGCGTCGTTGATTCTGGCAGCTCTGGACTGTCGCACGGCTCTAGCAGCACTGGGAAGTAACACTGCTCTGGGAGCCCTTCGTAAAACTCCTGAGGCGGCTCAAGCCTCTTATGGGACCCAGGAAGTGTCTCCGGCTTATCATGAGGCTCAGGTGGTGGTTCTGGCAGCACTGGCTGTGACGGGAAATCAGGTAGTTCAGAACGTGATGGGGAAACAAGCTGTTCTGACTGTGGACTGGAAGAATTGAGTGCGAGTGATGCTTTAATCCTTCTACAAATATCACCAGGATTCTCCTCCACTTTAAAAATAATGGTGGAGGAAGAATCTGACAAAGACAGAGCCAATTCTATGTAATGAAAGAGAGTCAAATCTGGGGTGTGCATTGGCATTATAGAGCGAAGGGGCTCCGATAATCCTCCACGAAAAAAAATCATCAGACATAAATCGTCCATATTACTTTTCTGAGCCAACTTCAAAAATTCCTCCACATGCTGTTCGATGGAGCGGTTACCTTGTTGCAGGCGAGTAATCTTTCCCTCTGCTGGATCCATAGTGGCGGAATCTTTCTGTCACCGGATGTCAAGGGAGCGAAGACAAGAGGTCGGATCCAAATGCAGTTTTAATGAAAAAGATTATTCGTGCAGGCAAAAACAAATGAGGTCAAAAAACAAGAACTCAGGTATCATGAAGGTCATCAAAAATGCAAAAACAAAGCAATGATCAAAGTACAAAAAGTTAGAAAACAATCATCAAAACATAACTAGAAAAACTAAACAGGACGAAACTCACTGAAACCATACAGGTACTGACAAACAAAGATTCCGCCTAGACTGGTGTGTGCAATGTGTATAAATAGTCCAAACAATTGATGATGACGATATTCAGCTGTGTGTGATTAATGGTGACTGGTTTGTGCAAAGGCATGCTGGGATATGTAGTTCATGAATGACATGTGTAGTATGCCAGCGATCTTTCAGGAACAGATTGCTGGTTATGTGACATATACAGTATTTATATATATATATATATATATATATACACACACACACACACACACACACACACACACACACACACACACACACACACACACACACACACACATATATACACATACATATATATATACACATTTATATATATATATATATATATATATATATATATATAATTTGTCTAATGTAAATCTAAGCATCAAATTAGCTCAGTATTTCCTTTTTAAAGAGAACAAATGTTGTCAAAGGCTGCTGAATTTCTGTTTGAAAGGCACTATTGATCAACTACTATAAAAGTGTTTGGTAGTTTCCTTTTGTATTTTTTTTCTCTTTGGTGTAGAAATGTATATATTCTATACAAAGTATGAAGCTCAGTGGTCAGTTCTTGTCACGTGACTTGCGGTGTACTCGCAGCATTCTTTCAACTAGGCCTGGACAGTGTGATATGCGCAGAACTTTAAACTAGCGCACAGTTTACATTTTGTTCCATGCAGAAACACGATGTTGAGAAGCCTTTATGATTAATTAAGCATGACGAATTAACTGCAAAGTGCACACTTTAAAAAAATAAATTACTACAATTAAAATTAACCTCCAACCTCCGCTTTAGTGGCCACATACGTGGATAACAGATTGTAGCTCTTAAGTGGCTAATTACAGTAAAATACTTTGAATGTTTTATGTTTTGTTACAGACATACAGTGTCATCCCGCAACTGTTTTGCAGCACATGAAATGTCCCAAACACTATTTTTAACTGTCCAAAATAGAAAAAAAATGTTGTTTTTACTCTCTGATAGTCAACACATGTTAAAAATTGGAGATAGTCCACCTGACGAATATCTAACGGCAGGGAATTCCATAACTGTGGTGCTATGCAGCTAAAAGATTTCATCCTAAAATTTGGAACTGATAACAGTTCAGTTGCAGAAGATCTCAGTGAGCGCGAGGAGTGTACCAGTGAAGAAAATCAGAGAGGTAAACGGGTGCCAGGTTGTGAAGAGCTCTGTAAGTTAAAAAAAGAATTTTATATTGTACACGATAAAGAACAGGAAGCCAATGCAAGTGAAAGAGAATTGGAGTTTTGTGTTCAGAAGCACACGAGCGGGTGACTACCCTCGCTGCTGAGTTCTGGATTAACTGTAATCTATGAAGTTGGTTAAGAGGGATACCAGATAGGAGGGAATTGCAATAATCAATCCTTGATGTAACTAAAGCATATGTACAAGCACTTCAGTACTTTGTTGGGATGGTGAAGGGCGAAGTCTTGCAATGTTACGCAAGTGAAAAAAGGCAGATTGTGAAATATTACTAATATGTGAATTAAACAAAAGCATACCATCTAGTATAACACCTAGACTTTTAGCATGAGTTGTAAAATTTACTGGAGAATTATTGATAGCTAGAGTAAAGGATTGAGCTTTGGAAAGAACAGATTTAGAGCCAACCAGAAGGGCTTCAGTTTTACTGGGATTTAACTTTAAAAAGTTATTGGTCATCCACATATTAATATCTCGCAGACATTTAGTAAGATCGGTCCCAAGGACCTTTCCCAATCCTACCCCCCATCTGTCTCCCACTCCACTTCCTGTCAGTATACTGTCCACTTATCATAAAAGCAAAAGCAAATCTCTAAAAAAGAAAGAAAACAGATGCAAATGGAGTTGTTGGTTATGTTTTAGTGCTGGACTGGGAAGTGGAACAGGGTCTTGGAGGGAAGCAGCCACCAGAGGAGTTCAGCCACTGTTACAAGAGGATCATCACTGACCTTCTGTACAACCTAAAGAACGAACATGCGTCACAGTTTATAGACCTGCACAAAGGAAGACCTGAAATCAACCAAACCTTTCATCAAGCTCAGCAGCGCTTTATACGCAACATTCACCTCAAGGTATGTGTCTGTCTGTCTGTCTGTCTGTCTGTCTGTCTGTCTGTCTGTCTGTCTGTTCGTCCGTCCGTCCGTCCGTCCATCCATCCATCCATCCATCCATCCATCCATCCATCCATCCATTCATCCATCCATCCATCCATCTCACTCCATAATCATACTGGCTTGTATCTAATATGTACAGTAATCATCTTGCCAATTATTTTGTAGTTGAGACACACTAACATCCGCGAGACAAACGTCAGCTGGGGAAGGAAAGGTCTGAGTGCCAAACACAACAGATCTCATCAGTTTTATGTGGACCGCCTTTGCTCTCACTTCCAGCGCACTATCACTGCTTCCCTAAACAGGTAAGAGCTCACAATCATCCCTCTATTCCTGTCATCTTACTTTATCACTGTCCGTCAGGCAGGCCGTGCTCAAAAGTGTTGCTTCAGACACATGCAGGTCCGTCAGCCTAAAGGATCTTTCGACATGCAGAGGAAAGAGGTTTCCAGACTCAAAACTCAAGAAGAGATTCAGCGCCATGTCAGATTTGGGAAAACATTGTGAGTTACGAATTGCGAAATGGCTTTTGTGTTTGACTCGTTTTGAATTGCAACATGCACTGCTTGGGCCAAAAAACTGAGTCACTGTTTGATTTAAGTAAACAAACTAGATCTGCAAGGGATTAATGTTTCTGGCTTTGTTTGACAAGCAATTGTTTTTCTAACTGTAGAACCTACACTGCAAAAATAAACTCTTGCTTAGAGTTCTTTTTCTTGTTTCTAATCAAAATATTTAAAGATTCTCAAGTCAAAAAGCATTTTGTAGACAAGCAAAAATATTGTCTTGTTTTCAGAAATTATATATTTGTCAAATTTAAGTAAGTTTTTTTTTTAAAAAAGCAAAATAATCTGCCAAATGTGGTACGTATAATGTTCTTATTTCAAAGCAAAAACAATATTATTTTGTTTACTTCATTGGCAGATTATTTTACATGTTTTATGGAAAAACTTAATTTTGATGCATTATTTCTGGAAACAAGATAATATGTTTTGCTTGCCTAGAAAATGCTTCTAGATGTTGAGTTTTTGTCTTGCTTCTAATTCACATGTTTAAGTAAGAAAACACCTTTTTTTGTAGTGTAGCTTCTTAAACATGTTGGAGGATGTATCCAGTGGTCACATTCGAGAATGACAATGCCAAAATTCACTGGGTTCAGATTGTGAAAGCAGGCTTCATTTTACACACACACTGTAGCTGACCTGTGACAGACCTGAAGTCCATTAAAGACTGAAGACTATTTTTAGATAGTCAAAACTGGATGCCTCAGAATCAGATAGCAGGTTTGCTCCCATTGTCATTACAAGAAAAGGTGACAAGAGTTTATCAAAGCAACGCCATGACAAATTTACACTATGATCAAAGCTAAAAAAAAATCCTTAAAACCCAGAAAACACTCTGTAACATTGATGAAAACTGATTTGTTTCCTCACATCGGCTCCATCTGGACCAAAAAAGTGCTCATGAACACACCAAACAGATGACAGCCGAATGAAACAAGATGGTACATTTTCTGCCTGCGTGAGAGGGGATATCTTTCCATACCAGTAGGTGGCAGTCGTGTTGTCACAATACTGCAATTTCGGGACTAATCGGTACTGAATCGTAAAAAAGAGTCAATTTCCTGCTAACATTTAAGTACTGTTGAGCACATTCTTAAACAGCGCTGATTTGCCACTGTGTTCACATGCTCAACAGAAATGACTGTGATTGGCCATGAAGGTCATTAGTTCACCATTCTTCACCTCTGTTCACTGAGTGCAAACGCCAATACACGGACACTGGAGCATTTTAAAACTGTGAAAATTAGTCAGGTCATCAGCGGATAACTCATATGTCAACTCGTAGACAGATTAGCGGATCTTCGCCGCTGTTTAGAAACATATTTAATTAAATGTCAGCGGAAAATGGACATTTAAAAATTTCAGTACCGATTGGTACCAAAATTGCAATATCGTGACAACACTAGCTAAGTGGCATTAGTCTGTACTCTTATTCCACAAAGGGAAACCAGAACTAGTGCTGCACGCATACAAACCATAAACAAAGCAGCATTCACGTATAGAGTGAGCCATTGGTGCAAATATATCTGATAACCTGATTATCTACATTTTTTGCAAATGCTTAAAGAAGCAGCTGTAATTTAGTTGCAATTCTTGTGTTCCCTCTTGTTCTCACCTGCTGATTTGTAGCCAAGCAGCCAATCATAGAATCATAGAATAGCCAACCATAGACTGAACATCCAACCATAGACTGAACATCCAACCATAGACTGAAGATACAACCATAGACTTTCTCAAGTATTTTCTCACTTAAATACAAACAGTGCCTTTTTGATGGAAGTGAAAAGTGCACTTGAAGCATTCATAGCTGAACAGCCAATCAGAGAACTCTCTTTCACTTACAGTACAGCCAATGCTAATTTTTCATGCTGAATCAGGCAAACACTCTCCAATGGGAAACTGAGACACATACTGAAGGCTGACTGTCAGCTTGGTGTGTCCTGGCCTTAAGATGACCTTGAGGAAAACCCCTCTAAATCACTCCAGCACATTTCAAGACGTTCAGTAGCATTCAGGTCAAATGGTGGTCAATTCAGGTGTGTGAAAATAAAGCCTTCTGTTCATTTGAGCCTGATACACATGGCTATTGCTAACCTCGAAAATGCCAATGGTGATACATCTTCTGAAGGAGTAAAAAGCTACACAATGGGTCAGTTAGAGTTGAAAGAGTTGCTGCCAAATGTAAGACAGGCAGGAACATATTAATCACTCCAATAAACATCCAACCATAGACGTTCTCAAGTATTTGCTCGCTTAAATCCAAACAGTGCCTTTTTTTGGCTAGGCAGTGTAAATATTCTTTCTTTTTTTCCACATTAGAGCACAGGGCTTTGCGTTCAGGCAGAACTTTCTAACAGAAGTAAGAAGTGCACTTGAAGCATCATCATTGTCCCTGAATGCTTTGCTGATAGTTGGAGAACCAGGGTCTGGAAAAAGCACGACGCTTGCCAAATTGGCTCAGCTAATACCTACTTGGATACCTGGGTAGGCAAACAAAACTATTAAAAATACACTGCCATTCAAAAGATTGAAGTTGATAAAATTTAATCAACAGGGGCTCATTGTAAAAATATGTATCCCTGTATAAATTTCTGGAGAGCGTGATTTACGTAGCCAGAGGTTTGTATGGCTGCAATTTGTGGGTGGGTCGCTGGTCAATCTGTGCTATTGAAAATACTATCGGTTAAGTTTAGGGAAGTAGGTGGGCGAGTCAATCTGTGCTTTTGAAAACACTATTGGTTGGGATAAGGAAAGTGGGTGGGCGCTGGTCAATCTGTGCTTTTCAAAACACAATTGGTTGGGTTTAGGAAAGTGGATGGACGCTGGTCAATCTGGACTTTTATAAACACTATCGGTTGGGTTTAGGAAAGTGGGTGGGCGCTGGTCAATCTAGGTTTTTGAAAACACTATCGGTTGGGTTTAAAAAATGGGTGGGCGCCGGTCAATCTGTGCTTTTGAAAACACCATTGGTTGGGTTTAGGAAAGTGGGTGGGCGCTGGTCAATCTATGCTATTGAAAACATTATCGTGGTGTAAAGTAACAAATTACAAATACTGCAATTACTGTAACTGAATAGTTTTTTCTTAGGAATTGTAATTTACCAAGTAGTTTCAAAAATGTGTACTTTTACTGAGTACATTTTTAGTGCTGTATTGGTACTTTTGCTCCACTATTTTCCTTCAACCTGCAGTCACTACTTTCTTTCTTTCTTTCTTTTTTTCTTTATTTCTTTCTTTCTTTATGGTGATTGGCTAAAGTAGAAAAATCAGTCTTGTGATTCCTGTCCAATCAAATCTTACATAGGAAGTAAATTGGATCAAGAACCTCAAGACATGGGTGCTTTATAAATGCAGCTAACCGCTTGTAAGCATTAAAGTGTCTAAAAAGATGTCAAAAATCTTCTAGAATCACTAAATGGAACGAATGAGGAATGGAAGAAAGGGCCAATCAAAGAATAGATGAAACGACCGAACTAAAGAAGGAAAGAAGGACCAAAGGAAGGACTGAACGAATGATAGAAGCAATCATAGAAACAAACTAATAAAGGAACGAAGGATGGAAGACACAAACGAACAAACAATAGACCAAATGAAGGAAGGGACAAAAGAATGAAGGAACGAATGAATGAGGAAACAAATTAAGGAACAAATTAATGAGGGAACGAATGAATAAAAAAAGGACAAAACAAACAATGGAAGAAACGAACATAGGAAGATCACTAAATGCACTACAGAATGTTATGTTTACACATCCCTGTGCAAATTGCATGTAAATGCATCATCCTTTCACACTGTAATGCTCACTACACTTGAGTACTTTTAAAAGGGCTATATTTTGAGTAATATTTACAACAGATACTTTTAATCTACTTGCACTACATTTTTTGGGCAAGTAATGGTACTTTTACTTGAGTAAGATTTTTTAGTGCACTTTCAGTCGGTTAGTCAGTCAGTCAGTCAGTCCACAGCAGCCTCTGGTTTATTTACGTCAGAAGAGCAGGCACGAATGGCACTCACGAGAGGAAATTGAGATCTGAAAAAGTGAACACCGTGACCTGTGGTGGATTTGTGAAAACAAAAACTGCAAAACTACATGCCTCCTAGGACGTGTTTTGCACTCTCCAAAAATGTATACAGGGGTGTGTATCCATAATAAGCCTGGGTTAAATTAATTATGATTTTGAAAAAAAAAAACAGTTTAGTTAGCTCAACAAGGCTAACTTTATTTTATTAAAATACAGTAAAAACTGTAATTTTGTTAAATATTATAACATTGTAAAATAGCGGTTTTTATATATTTTTTAAATATGTGTATACATTTTATTTATTTCTGTCTACATGGTCACATGATCCATCAGAAATCAATTTACATTTACATTTAGTCATTTAGCAGACGCTTTTATCCAAAGCGACTTACAAATGAGGACATGGAAGCAATTTACACAACTATAAGAGCAACAATGAATAAGTGCTATAGGCAAGTTTCAGGTCTGTAAAGTCTAAGAAGGAAAGTATTAGTAGTATTAGTATTTTTATTATTTTTTTTTAAAAAATTGGGTACAGTTAGTGTGATATTCAGAGAGGCAATTGCAGATTAGGAAGTGAAGTGGAGACTAAATAGTTGAGTTTTTAGTCGTTTCTTGAAAGTAGCGAGTGACTCTGCTGTTCTGATGCAGTTTGGGAGTTCATTCCACCAACTTGGCAGATTGAGCGTGAGCGTTCGCGAAAGTGATTTCTTCCCTCTTTGGGATGGAACCACGAGCCGACGTTCATTCACAGAAGGCAAGTTTCTGGAGGGCACTCAGATCTGCAGAAGTGAGAGCAGATAAGAAGGAGCAAGGCCAGAAGTCACTTTGTAGGCAAACATCAGAGCTTTGAATTTGATGCGAGCAGCAACTGGCAGCCAGTGCAAACGGACTAGCAGTGGAGTGACATGTGCTCGTTTAGGTTCATTGAAAACCACTCGTGCTGCTGCGTTCTGGAGCAGTTGAAGAGGCTTGATAGAGTTAGCTGGAAGCCCAGCTAGTAGAGAGTTGCAGTAATCCAGTTTGGAGAGAACAAGAGCTTGTACAAGGAGTTGAGCTGTATGTTCAGATAAGAAGGGTCGGATCTTTCTGATGTTATAGAGTTTAATATGCTTATTTAATGCTTAAGATAAATGTATTCTTATTATAAATTGCTTCGCTGTGAGATTTTTTTGTAAATACAGCCTAATCTCACGAGAAAACATAAGTATTTTTTACGTTTTGTCCGTTTAGTGGCTAATTCTTTGATAAATTGAAATCTCAAAGGTGCTTCATTTGTTCGTAAAAGGCAGCATGAATGAAATTTTATTAAATCATTTAAAGAATACTTGGCAAATAAAAAGTATTATAAAAAGATTAACCAAAAACAACTTTAACCGCAAACTTTACAATGTTTTAGGCTTACATAACCATTCTAGTGTTTGAGGATTTGCTCAGTTTCAATCCTTATTTAAAAAAACTCAATATTAATATTATAAGTAACAATAATAATCATGGTTTACTCTTTCTTAGGGATGTCAAAGTGCTGGCCTGTTTTGTGGGTCTGACATCTGACAGCAGAAATGTGCGATTGCTCCTCCAGACTCTGTGCCTTCAGTTATCCAACATCTACAGCCTTCAAACAGAGATATCTGAGGTACATAAACACTTTAAAAGACACATCAAATATTCATAAAGGTCTTCTACACCCTTCTGGATATGCGATATTGAGAGATTGTTTATCTGTCTGACAGATAGTGTTGCACTATGAAATGCAGTCTGTTTTTTTTCCCCCTCAGTCTCTGTCAGAGTTGTCCAGCGATCTGTGCTCATTGTTGGGTTTGGTGACAGAGGAGCGGCCCTTGACCCTGCTGCTGGATGGTCTGGATAATCTGAGCGAGGAACATGAAGCTGACCTTTCCTGGCTCAGTGATATTCTTCTGCCACATGTCTTCATTGTTGTTTCTGCCAGCACACACTCTAAATGTGCTCATTTTTTACGGGTAAGCATTAGCAAATGATGGAGGATGATTTACTCTCCCATTTAAAAGTCTCTGATGCTCACCAAAGCTGCATTTATTTTAAACCTGAAATATTATTACAATTTGATATACAGGTGAAGTCAAAATGATTAGCCCCCCTGTAAATTATTATTTTTTTAAATTATTTCAAATTGAATATATATATATTCAATTTGAATCCTTCTTTTTCTTTCAGTCTCAGGTTAAGGTCTCTGTCCTGTCTTTACCTGCTCTTCACCATGAGGAGATCACATCAGCACTGGCATCACGATTATCTTCAGACTCACGCCAGCTAACAGAAAACCAGTGGACGCTTTTATCCCAGTCCTGCCTATCCTGCCCTTCTCCTCTCTACCTCAATTTAGCCCATGCAGAGAGCAAACAATGGAGTTCCTTCACACCCGAAAACAGCCTCAACATCCCTAAGGATCCAAATCAACTTTTCATAAACGTCCTAGTCAGTTTAGAGCGAGAGTATGGGTCATGTTTGGTACGACGTTTGGCTTTGCTTATTTCACTGTCCCGCTCTGGCATCGCTGAGGAGGAACTTTTGGTGCTTTTAGGATGCGATGGTCATGTGAAGTGCGAGATGGCGAGTTTGCATCATCAGACGCTTCCAGGTTCTGAATATTCCCCTGTGCCCTATGCATTTGTGGCAGGACTTTTGTACAGTTTGAGGGATTACATGACAGAAGTGGAAAGTGACGACACATGGGTTTTACGCTGGACTCACACAGAGTTTTGTTGTGTTGTATTACAGCGGTATGCACCAACAGAAGACTCTAGAAAAGCTGTCCATGCAGACTTTGCTGATTATTTCAATGGGAGTGCTCCGAACAGCCAGGTTTTTCAACCGTTGGCTTGGATCAGGAAGGAGAGAGGAAGAAGGTGCTATGTGTTTAATTTGCGCAAACTCCACTGTTTGCCATATCATTATATCCACTCAGGGCAGATCATTCCTTTGCTCACTGAGTGTCTGTTTAACTACGAGTTCCTGCTGCATAAACTGTGGGGATTGTCCATCTATCACGTCCAGGAGGACCTTAAAGCGGCTGTCATTGTGGATAAGTATGATTGTTTAATCACTGTTTGGTTATTATTGGGTTAATGGGATAGAAAGATCATGCAAAAACTAAAAATTGATGCTAAAGGTGGTGATCTATTAGGCAAAAATCACATTTATAAGAGGCAACAGTGTGAGAATTTAGCCATTTTTTGACATTATTCATTTTGCACAGAGATAACATTAGTCCTGTTTTGAATCTGCCCATAAGCTGTTGCACTGGCATTTGTAGCTTCGCCCTCTTTTGGAAATCTCAGTTAAATTTAAAGCGACAGTCACCAAAACTAAACAGTTTGGATCAAAGTATAAAAGGGGAAATTTTAAAGAGTTATGCAAAATATTTGTGTGGTATTTTAATTTTAAAAAATGTACACTTACTTGTTTTGTAAAATCTAAAAAAAAGCAAACTCATAAAGGCATGGAAACACTTGAGGTTGAGTAAATTGTGAGTAAATGTAAAAATGTGGCTGCGCTTTAAAGGGATTCCAGCAATGTTGTTAGTGTCACAGTTGTCGTGAAGTTTTTGTCTATAATGTAGAATCCAAGGCGGTGCAGTGTGTAGCACTGTCGCTTCACAGCTAGAAGGTCACTGGTTCAAGCCTCGGCTGGGTCAGTTGGCATTTCTGTGTGAGGTTGGCATGTTCTCCCTGTGTTTGCATGGGTTTCCTCAAGGTGTGCACAGACTTGCGCTATAGGTAAATTCATTCATTCATTCGTTTTCTTTTCGGCTTAGTCTCTTTATTAATCAGGTTGCCCCAACAGAATGAACCGCCAACTTATCTAGCATATGTTTTACACAGCGCACCCTTCCAGCCACACCCCAACACTGGGAAACACCTATATACACTCATTCACACTCATACACTACAGCCAATTTAGCCTATTCAGTTCACCTAGCACATGTTTTTGGACTGTGGGGGAAACCGGAGCACCCGGAGGAAACCCACGCCAACATGGGAAAAACATGCAAACTCCACTCAGAAATGCCAACTCGAACCAGTGGCCTTCTAGATGTAAGGTGATTGTGCTACCCACTGCTCCACCATGACGCCCTCTATAGGTGAATTGGATAAGGTAAATTGGCAGTAGCGCATGTGTGTTATTGGGAGTGTATGGGTGTTTGCCAGTAATGGGTTGTGGCTGGAAGGGCATCTGCTGCGTAAAACATAAGCTGGATAAGTTGGTGGTTCATTCCGCTGTGGCGACCCCTGATTAATAAAGGGACTAAGCCAAAAAAAAAAATGAATGAATGAGTGAATGAATGTAGAATCCATATAAAATATGTTTATTTATATTATAGTTATTGTCCTAAATGTAAACAAGCTGTAAGACAGTATATAAATACACAAGTGTGTGTGTTTGTTTGTGTGTGTTTTACAGAGATCTTCTGGACGTTGCTGTTTTGGCTCAAGTTTTGAGTCTTTCTCATTCTGTGCTTTTGAATGACCCATGCCAGCTGGCATCTCAGCTCCTGGGTCGTTTGGAGCAGATAATTTGCCAAGACAAACCCGTAACTTCAGGTACACACACAAGCATAAAATGACTCATACCTGCAGACATGTGTCAAACTCATATCCCAGTGTATGTGTTGTTCCAGGTGACCCAAGACGATTCTCCTTCCTTCATGATCTGTTAGCTCAGTGCAGAAGCTCTTCTCTGCCCGTTCTGGTGCCCTCATACACCTGCCTGCTTCCTCCAGGTGGACTCATGCACACACTCCTGTCAGGTACACATTTTAAGCTCAGTTTCCTGGTATTACCAATCAAACTGGTTTTGACTAAATCTGTATCTAAGGCCTGACATGTATTTTAAGTGCCATATGCATGCAGCGCAGATCAGGTTGCATTCTAATAACTGACAGGTTAGAGTCATGTGTATCCTTGGGATTTTCCAAAGTGGTATTAGAGCTGTGGTTGGGGTTTATAAGCAATTAGGAACTGTGGCCTGAACTGTACGTTCATGAGGTACCATATTCAGACAACAGTTCTTATGTAATGAATTACAGGCTGAAATGCACATAAACTCACATTCTGGTACTCTGCGCAATGTGGACTTCAACACCTACAAAATAGAGTTCAAACTAAAACTCAAATGAAAAACATCTATAATCAACTAAATTAGCTCAATTTCATGAATATCAATGATTAATAATAATAAGCTATTATTTAATTATGATTATTCATGATTATCTTAGTTAATTTAACAAAGTAAATATAACAACGATTCGTCCGCTCGTATGAGCAGACTCTTTAATTGTTTATCTATTGAGAAAGGGAATTATACTGCTTGTGAAGTAGATGAATAATTTTGGAAGTATAAAGAAATTATGAATAAGCTGATAGCAACATATGCATAAAAATTTGTAATTTGTAAATTATAAAAAAAATTATTGTAATATTTATGGTGTGTCTTGTGTATAGTGTATTTTTTGGATTATTCATTTATTAATTCATTTTCTTGTCGGCTTTATTAATCCGGGGTCGGCACAGCGTAATGAACCACCTTATCCAGCAAGTTTTTACGCAGCAGATGCCCTTCCAACCGCAACCCATCTCTGGGAATTTTTTTTTTTTGATTATGTATATTGGATATTTTTTCACCTGAAATATGTGATGATTTGCATACCAAAGCAACCTAAATATTGCAAAAAAAAACAGCAAGCAAAACACTGGTTACAAATGAGAGAGACAAATACACAAAAAAACATGTTATCGTTAAATTAATAATAATATTAATAATAATAATAATAATAATAATAATAATAATAATAATAATAATAATAATAATAATAATAATAATTGTATATGTTAAAATAGAGCAGAAATCCATAACAATAAACATAAAATACTGTTTTGACAAGTATCAAGATTTTTTTTAAATGAATAACAAATGGAGTAACAGTAATAAATTCAACACCTATAAAATAGAGTTCAAACTAAAACTAAATCTAAATAGAGAGGTAAAAAATTATTAAACAAATGCATAAAAAACTTGCCATGCACAAATTGTAATATTTATGGTGTCTTTTGAATATAGTATACTTTTTAGATTATTTATATTGGATTTTTTTTATTTAACCTGAAATATGTGGTGATTTGCATACCAAAGCAACCTACAGTAAATACTGCAATTTGTTCCAAATGAGAGAGAGACAAACGCACAGATATACAAAAAACACAATCTAAGTGCCAGTTATTTTAATTTAAATAAATAACTACTACTACTACTAATAATAATAATAATAATAAAATGATTGTATGTGTTGAAATAAAGCAGAAATCAATAAAAATAAATATAAAATGAAATAAAAATTCCAAATACTGTTTTGGCAAGAAACCAAAATATGTTAAAAAAAAACAAATACAAATAAAAACATATTTATATAATTTCATATTTAAATAAAACACAATTTAAAATGTTAAAATGTATTTTTAAAGGATTAATACCTAAAGCTGATTACATTTAATATATATATATATATATATATATATATATATATATATATATATATATATATATATATATATATATATATATATATATATATAATGATGTATGAATATTACTGCACATGTGATAACCAAGTATTGTAGCGGTTGAAATATCTCCAAATCTTGTCACTTGACACCTATTTTGTTTTTTAAAAGGAAGGTTTGCTTATTTTATTTGAACTGCAATTCTTAAACACTTGGATTGCTCTTGATACTCCTACAGTAACACCATGACCCATTTTCTGCATTGAGAAATGGGAAGTGAATTCATGTGGTTTGGTGTGTCACATGAAATGAGCGCACAGCTGTTGGAGTCTTTGCATAGCAACTGCTATGTCAATAGCGATCTTAAAGCACATGGTTTTAATATTAATGTTTGAGGTATAACTGTGATGAGTTTGCTTCAGAACAACTTAAGTACATTCTGCTGAAGTATTGTCAACAACAAATAGTGTTTGGGTCACTCTGGAGACCCATAAGAAAATTCAGATGAAGCGCTTATTGAATTAGTCTTTCTTGTTTGGCCTACAAATTGAATGAGCAGCTCTATAATCTGCAGAGATTTATGACAAAAGTCTAAAATAAGATTCTGTATGATGGCTGAATGATCAGTCTTAAACATATTGACTCACTTTTAATGACAGTGCACTATTTGAGGGTATTAGGGAGATTTTTGTCCTGTCTTGGATTTGATGGAGGACCAGTTTTTTTGAAGGGGCAATATTCTCGAAATCACAGATTTGGAAAGATCAACTTTTCTAACTGTGGTTGAAAATATTCTTTGTCTCTTCGGTCTTCATCTGGACAATCTAGATGGTTTTTAATTATTTTGAACAGCTCTCCGTCTTGCAAAGTCAGACCTTTGTGGAAAATGTGACTGCCAGTTAACCCTTGTGTATTGTTCAAATTGACTATAGATTGACTTTGTTATGTTGGTGGCTGTTTTTAGCCCATTGACTTCCATTATAATGACACTTTTTGATTGTAAAGTCATGACACCATGTAACGACACATTCTTAATTGTTGGGGATTTTCCCTGTTGAAAAGAGGCAACACTTGTCATTTTTACAGTTGATCATCAGCTGGCACCATTAACTCTTTAGATAGCCTGTGGAAAAAGTCTCTGGATTTTATATGGAGTTCTATGTAGTAAGACAGCAAATTATAGTGTAGATAAACACTTGCTTTGTTTACTTTTTTTGGAGAGCTGAACGGCTTATTTTGAGTTTCTCAAACATATCAAGGTAAGTGTGCAAAATTCTCTCTTACACTCTCACACACACTCAATATACTCCATATGAAGGCCAGAAATGAAGCTTTTTTTTTACGCAACCGTTGATCAATAGTAAAAAATGCTAATTGTACCTCTTCCGAACAGGGAAAACCACCAACAATCAAGAATACATAATACATTTGCTATCAAAAAATGTTGTTATAATGGAAGTCAATGGAGCAAAAACAGCCCAAACATGATGAAAGGATAGTAAATTTGCCCAGAGTGTGTTGTTAGAGTTTTTGAAAGCTCTAAAGCATTTACTCATGTGTTAAAACAAGATTTGTCACCAAAAATCATTCCATTTGCTGAAACAATGAGACAGTTGTGGCCAAATTAAGACTCAAAAACATCCCAACAACACACAAGGGTAAGGTTTTTTTCAGATAATTAAGGAATTTCTTGTCGTCGATTCCAGTTGTATGAGCAATGAATAATAACTTGACTTTTAGTTGATCATTTAGAAAAATGGCAGAAGGTACATTTTTTAGGTGAATCATCTGTTGAACTGCATCCCAATCATCACAAATACTGCAGAAGACCTATTAGAACCCGCGTGGACCCAAGATTCTCACAGAAATCAGTCAAGTTTGGTAAAGGAAAAAATCATGGTTTGGGGTTACATTTAGCATGGGGGTGTGCGAGAGATCTGCAAAGTGGATGGCAACATCAACAGCCTGAGGTATCAAGACATTTGTGCTGCCCAGTACACTACAACCACAGGAAAGGGCAAATTCTTCAGCAGGATAGCGCTCCTTCTCATACTTCAGCCTCCACATCAAAGCTCCTGAAAGCAGAGATGTATGGATGCAGTCGTCCATGCTCATGGGAGTCATACACAATATTAATTCCTTTTCCACTGCAGCATGACTTTATATTCTATATTGTACAATATTTCTGTTAAGTGACAAGACTTTTGTCTAAGCAAAGTCAGACCCTACTGTACTAATTTAATAATTAAAAATCAAGGCATGATTATGTTTTGTTTTGGCTAAATAAGCGTAATCTAGAGGCCTTTGCCTTTCATACAAGCCACTTCTGATACCAAATGATCAACTAGAAGTCAAGTTATTATTTATTGTTCTTAAAACTTGGATAGGAGACACGACTTTTGTCAGGTAATTACTGGAAAGAATCTAAATATGTTTTCTGATGTTGATAAGTGTTGCTTTTCAAACAAATAATATATAAGATTCTATTATACTGTGCATCAGAATATATGTAACTCATCAAATATGCTTAAAACTGAATTTTAAATATGGCCAAGCACTATCCTCAATGTTTTTATGAGATTGTATTTTGTTCTGATTGTGATCTCCACTGTAGGTCATATGAGTGCCGTGACCGCACTGGCTCATGGTGGACGGCACCTTGTTTCCTGCTCGTCTGATGGAAAGCTGAATCTATGGCGTCTGGACGAGCAAATGAGGCCTGTGGGAGCCCTACCGAGGGCTCATGGATGCGCAGTAGACTGGGCCGCAGACTCGCTCACTCTTTGTCTGGATGACACTGTGCTCGTGCTGCAGATGGGCTACTGTCTGCAGGTCAGAGAGGTGCATTCTGGGAAGGTGCTATATGTGGAGGAGTCATTAGATGTTCCTGTGGTCACATCTGCATGTGATGGACGGCTGCTGGTGATTTTCTATGATGGATGTCATATGGTTAAGGTGAGTATTTTGCGAGATTGCACTTCATGTATATGCCTAGAAAAAAAAGTTGTTGTTAGAAATGGTCTATAAAAAATACTGTGTTACACTGGACCAAAGCAACATTAGCAAAATTTTCACCAAGTATAAATCCCTTGTGTAATATGTGATGTTGTGTTAGCTAATCATTGTAATGTGAGAACGCAGGACAATGAAGTTGAGGATTCAAATGCAGTTATATTATGCGAACGGTAAGGCAGGCAATGGTCAACAGGGTCAAACAGATACATGCAGGCAAATCCAGAAGAGTGGTCAAATAATGGTCAGTACAGGCAGCAAGCAACGTAAACAAACAGAACAAAGCAAGGGTCAAACATGTCTAGGCAAGGCAAAGGAAACCTGTTGTAATGTCACAAAACAGTTAAACAAGACTCAGCAACTGGTGTGTGTGTGTCTGTGCTGCTGAAAACCGGAACCGGTGTGAGATTGTGGTGCATGACAGGTTTTGTAGTCCACATGGTGACAGATATAGTAGTTCTAGTAGTTTAGTAGTTTAGTTTAGTAGTTTAGTAGTTCTCCAGCAATATTTATGGGCTAGATTGTTGTATATTGTGACCATTTTTTTCATCCCTCCATTTTATTTTTATCTATTCAATTTATTTATATATATATATTTTTAAGACTATTTGGATTTTGATATATATGGGTGAACATGTATCTATCTGTATTTGCCTACGTATGTTGACATGGTGTAGAACAGATTAAGAATGTGCATAATAAGCATTTAAAGGCGGCAGTATGGTGAGGACTTCTACTGGAGCAAAAACTATTTTTATTTTTCAAATTCAATTTTTCAAAACCTCCTTAAAATTGTTGTGTAATTGATTAAAATGTACTAAAAAATAAAGTAAAAGAGAAGAAAAAAGTAAAACAAGAAACATATATATTTTAAAACAAATTACAGAATAATGTACTAGCATCCATACATCCACAACTAATAACTGTATATGTTGTTAAAGTCCATGTGAACCAGATTTATTTATTTTCACTTTGAAAAATATTTATCAGACCTTTGTGGAATAATAATAAAATTATTATTATTTAACGCAAACCAATAGTACACCCAGATAAACTAATAATTTCCAAGCGGTGTCTACATTTTTTTCCATAACTGTAATGGATTATTCTACCATTTGCATATTTCATCATATGTAGTAGTAAGGTTTCATTTAACAAATGGCCAGTTATCATTTCAGTTGTAACTTCCTCTTTCTGTCTCTCTTATTTTCATTCAGGTATTTAATCTTGTGTCGTCTTGTTCGCTGCTCTTTTGTGTAAACCTCACTCTGGAGTTTGAGCCCATCCACAAAGACCAGTCAATTGTAGTCTCCCGTCAACCTGCTAAAGACTACGTTCTCTTCGCCTACAGGTTACAAGCACATTACCACGCACATAACACACGCATGCACATCAACATTAATTAATCATTAAAGTATTTTGTTCTTAAATAACAAGATGAGCTCTGACATAACAATACGGCGCATATCTAATTTCCAGCCATGTGTGAAAACAAAGACACTGTTCCTGGACTGATTTATATTGTCTGGTCACACAATGTATTATTTAAAAGTCTGCTTCTCGAGTGTATGTGTTTGTGTGTGTGTGTTTATGTTACTGGTTTCCTTTGTTGGTTTTGTAAATCTGTAGCTATTTAAAAAAATTAATGAAGGCGGTTTATCTATCTCGTATTTCAATGCATGATTAAAATGCAAGGATTATCCAGGAGCGACGATTGAAAGAAGTAATGAACCTTTACTATTAATGTGATTAAAGCACGTACGCAATTACACCCAACTAGGTCGACTAGTAATTTGAAACTGTTATTAAAATTAGCTGTCAAAGCCATAAGGCATTAATTTAAGGAACAAAAGTGTCTCTTCTTGTGTCTCGGATGTAGAATAAAAATAAAAGACTTCTCTCACAATTTTGACGTTTTTTTCACATTTGAAGGTTTATTTCTCACAATTCAGCCCTCTATAAAAAGTGAAGGATTTATAGCTTTGCATGAATTGCAAGAAATGACTTAAAAGTACTTTTTTATCCACAATTCAAAGTTCATGTCATGTCTTCATATACTGGCATTCAAAATTGTGAGAAATAATCAGACTTATGAGAAAAACTGGAGAGCGAAAACTTGCAAATCTAAACAAAAATAAGCATCAGAATAGCAAGATGTTGAAGTCAATAAAATAAAATAAATCAAAATTTACTATGTTTATTAGCACACATTTTTAGTTCTTAAGTTAATCCCCTGAATTGTTTTGTTTTGGTAATCTTTAATCAAATTCTGACCATTTGTTGGTGCATTTGGAGTGGCAGTTCTTTTCCGTTTACATCAGTGTGAAGGCTTCAGCCACAATATTCTACTAATAGAATGAGTCCCACAAGGTCAATTCAGGCACCTCTTCTGTTCAACAATTATATGGTCCCACCGAGCCAAATAATGAGAAATAATTAAATCTCCTACCACAGCTATGCTGATGACACTCAGATCTTCCTAGCCTTACTGCCTAATGACTTCAGGCCCCATTGACACTCTCTGCCAATGCATTGATGAAATGAACAGTTGAATGCGCCCAAACTTTCTTCAGTTAAACAAAGAGAAAACTGAAGTCATTGCATTTGGGAACAGAGATGAGGTTCTTAAGGTGAATGCGTACAGTGGCTCAAAGGGTCAAACAACAAGAATCTTGGTGTGACTCTGGAGTCAGATCTGTGTTTCAATAGTCATGTCAAAGCAGTAAGTAAATCAGCATACTATCATCTCAAAAACATTGCAAGAATCAGATGCTTTGTTTCCAGTGAGTACTTAAAGAAACTTGTTCATGCTTTTATCAGCAGCAGGGTGGATTACTGTAACGGCCTCCTCACTGGCCTTCCCAAAAAGACAGTCAGACAGTTGCAGCTCATGCAGAACGCTGCTGCCAGGATTCTGACCAGAAGCAGAAAATCAGAGCACATCTGCCTGTCCTCAGGTCTCTACACTGGCTCCCAGTTACATTCAGAATAGATTTTAAAGTGTTATTACTTGTCTATAAATCACTAAATGGCCAATGACCTCAATACTTTACAGATATGCTGACTGAATACAAACATAACAGATCCATCAGATCTTTAGGATCATATGAACTAGAAATTTCAATAGTTGTCAAAGCAGGCTGAATACGCCTTCAGCTACTGCACCCCCTACTGCTGGAATCAGCTTCCAGAAATGATCAGATGTGCTCCAACAAGACTAAAAAAACACATCTGTTTAGCTGTGCCTTTACTGAATGAGCCCTGTGTTACACCACTCTCAGCGTTAGTTTGCTATGAGGGAATGATCCACAGAAAAAATATCTCGTCCCCTACCATGCAGGCTTAAACTAATAATAGAAAAAACAAGTCAGAATTTAGTTCTTGCATTATATTTTTGTTTATATATGTAAAAATTAGCTTTTTTTCTCTGAATTATGAGGAAAAAGGTCAGTATTCTGATATCGAAATATTTAAAAACTTCTAAAGAAAGTCAATGGTAGCATCATTTTAAGAACAAAAGTCTGAATTGCAAGATACACTGTAAAAAAATGCGGAGTTCCACTCAGTTCATTCATGTTGTCCTAACACAAATCGATTAAATTAACTTAACAAATTTAAGTGGAATGAACATAAATCAATTAAGTTGTCAATATCTCAATAATTGTGTTGTTTCAGCTAATTTTAAACAAGCAGTTTAAACATGCAACAAACATAATTTTTGAGTGTATAAATGCACAATTGTAAGACAAAATGTTACTTTTTTATTTTGTAATTCCAAAATTACATTTTATTTTATTTTAATTCAATTTATTTTTTAGATAAATTGGGATTTTATGCATTGCATTTCAGAGTTTATATCTAAAAAAATAATTTTCTCTGAATTGTGAGAATAAAAGTTAAAATTGTAAAAAACAATCGCGCAAAACAGACACAATTCTGAGAAAAAGAAGTCAAAATTGCAAGATGTAAACACTCAAATCTGATTTTATCCCCAGTTTGGAGTTTACATCTGACATAAAAAACTTTTTTTTTTACAGAATGTATGAGTTAACATTTACCAAATCAGGAGAAAATGTATATAAGTTAAAAAAATGGCATTTTTAAAATAGTTTTATCATGGCTATATCTAAAATAATGAAACTTTAATTAGTTGTAAAATAATAGCCTAATATTAACATTGTACCTCTCCAAGAACTAACTTTCCTATCAGAGCTGAACAATGGGCAAAGTGCTTATATCTGTCAAAATAACTTAGGCAGCCAATAAGATCAAAGAAGGCGGGATTTATGTCCCCGAATGCCTTTCTTAACTCAGTACATTGACCTCTGTATTTCTAAAACTCAGTCTATTGTAATGCTGGCAATTTCCTATTTCCTCTCTACTCTGCTGTAAAGGGGCCAAAAAATCTTCCAAAAAGTCATATAATGAGGAATCAGACACTGGATGAAAGAGTTCATTATACTGTGGAAACACACTCTCATCAAAACTTCCTCCAAATCTCAAAACTGCAAAATGGGGTTTTATACTTCAGCAGATTTGAGGCTGCAGACGTCATGAGAATATTCAAGCACCCTGTCTAAATTAGACCTCAACTACTCCTTTTAGGTTCAGAAACGTGACCTGCGGAAGAGATGCCCAAATTACTGAACACCAGAAGTAGTGATAAGTGAAAGAATTGGGAAAGTTTGCAATTGTATGTTCTCCTAAGGTGCGAAAGTGGGAAGATAAGGGACTTTTAACTTTGATTCTGATCATCTGAACAAGTGTTTTAGTTGTTGTAGCATAATTCAGCTTTATTCTTTTTTGAACATGGCATAATGCAATTCAGTTAAGAAACATTATTAATGATTTAAAACCAGTAATAACTGATCCTAAAAGAGCAGGAAAGGTGTCATTTAAAGACAGGAGTAGTGAAAATTCAGCTATTGAATCAACAGAATACATTACATTTAAAATATATTCAGTAGAGTTATTTAAATTATGTTATCTATGAGACCTGTGAATGGTAAAGAACAGATAAATCTAGTAAAAATCTAGTCGAGTCTAGTAGTGAAGTGAAAGCAAGACAACCAGACTGGTTTGTTTACATGTTGCGATTAGGTGCTATGGAAACTGAAGTGTTGCTAGACTGATAAACGGACCACAAATGCTAAGGCTTACTGTCTTGCTTTCTCATATTTCTTTCTTGCTCTGTTTCTCATTTGTAGGAATGGAGGAGAGGCGGCGGTGTTCAATGCTAAAGGTGGAGTTGTGTCTTCCACATTGAAAGCTCAGCACCCTGCAGCGGCAATACAAGCTGTAGAGATCAGCTCTCAGTATTTACTGCTCTTCTGCAGGTAACACTAAAGGAATAATTCATTTAGATGAGAAAATTGGCATCATTTTTTAAAGTGATAATTTGCTCAAAATAAATAAAAGTAAAACAAATATTTGTTAATTGACTCACCCAACATGTAGTTGTTGTTTTTCCCCCTTATGACAACATTAAGCCTTTTGACATGTACCGTCACATCAGTGTGATCAGTCTGAGCTGGTCACTAGAGCTTTTGATACAGTGAGGTCAGTCTAGGCTGGTCACTACAGTGTTCGATCTAGTGTGATCAGTCTAGGCTGGTCACTTGAGCGTTTGATCCAGTGTGATTAGTCTAGTCTGGTCACTTGAGCGTTCGTTCCAGTGTAATCAGTCTTGGCTGTTAACTTTGAGCGTTTGATCAGGTGTGATCAGTCTAGGCTGGTCACTAAATTGTTTGATCTGGTGTGATTAGTCTAGGCTGGTCACTAGAGTGTTCGATCTGGTGTGATCAGTCTAGGCTAGTCACTTGAGTGTTCGTTTCAGTGTGATCAGTCTAGTCTGGTCCCTTGAGCATTCGTTCTATTGTGATCAGTCTAGGGTGGTCACTAGAGTGATCAATCTGGTGTGACCAGTCTAGGCTGGTCACTTGAGCTTTTGATCTGGTGTGATCATTCTAGGCTGGTCACTAGTGTGTTCGATCTGGTGTAATCAATCTAGGCTGGTCACTTAGGCATTCGTTCCAATGTGATCAGTCTAGGCTGGTCACTAGAGTGTTCAATCTGGTGTGATCAGTCTAGGCAGGTCACTAGAGTGTTCGATCTGGTATGATCAGTCTAGGCTGGTCACTAGAGTGTTCGATCTGGTATGATCAGTCTAGGCTGGTCACTAGAGTGTTCGATCTGGTATGATCAGTCTAGGCTGGTCACTAGAGTGTTCGATCTGGTATGATCAGTCCAGGCTGGTCACTAGAGTGTTTGATTTGAGGTGATCAATCTAGGCTGGTCCCTGGAGCGTTTCATCAGGTGTGATCAGAATGTTAAGTGCATTTGTGATCAGTTACTAAATTCACATCGACTTTCTCGCATTGGATGCATTGAGCTGTATAAATTCAAATTTAGAGCAGTAGAATTTATTGTACCGTACCGTAGAATTTTGTGTTTACTAATAAATTTTGTTTTGTTTTAGGTTATTTTAGGTGTATGTGTTTTGGGAGAAGTTGATAAGTTAACATGTTGAAAATCCAGCAGCTCTAAACACTGCAGCGCAGGCTAACATGGCAGTGCCCATCACCTGTCATAGATCAAATAATATGATCATTATTAAGCTGTTCAAACTATCAAATACAGGTTTTTTCACATATTTGAGAATTGAAATATCAGATATTTCAGGATGTTTGTCAATATTTGTAGAAAATGGGAAAAAATAAACAAAAAAAAAAGCAATAAATCATTGGGTGGAGGTCACGTCTTAAATTTACCTCGACATGGAAACTTTGAAAGCGGCGTATTCTAAATAATGCCCACTTTTAAAAAATCCCACACTAGGGGGTCAGCGGGAATATTTTAAACTTATGTGAACGGGTTACAGATTTCTAGCTGAAACCAGTACTTTGAATTCATCTTTAATGTTTTACTGCTGAAAAATGTTGCCAAAAATCTTTGGTAAATTAACAGCAATATCTTTTGCTGACATAAATTCACTATATACGTCTCTTTGGTTTTTACAGATACCCCTATAAAAGACAAAGTGAAATCATTCATATTGAACTCTTCAGCGCTGAATCTTTCCAGTATCTGCGCTCCATCTTGGGTTGCAGTCAGGACTACATTTCCCAGGTCACTGTTGCAGGAGGCGGGTCCCACATTGTGGCCTTCTGCCCCGCCCCTCACCATGGCACCACTGAAATTATTATCTGGAACATTGAGACGGAAGACCATAAACACATTGCACGCTTTCCTGGCCTAATGACACACGGTTAGTCAATAAACAAGTTCAGTATTATTGCCACCAACACTAAACCGCACAACTCTTTTGGCAAAAAAAAATACACACATGGCTGAACTCATTACTTTAATGCAGAATATATATTATTATACTAAACTATTATTTTTTTCTTGGAGATTGACTCCTCAAATATATTTACTCTAACAGCTCACATGCAGTTAAACCACATCATTAGGACAAATGATATACCTTAAAAGCAGGAGTGCCCAAACTCGGTCTTGGAGGGCCAGTGTTCTGCAAAGTTTACTTCCAACCCTAATCAGACACACCTAGGGTGGCTAATCAAGCTCTTATAGGCTTTCTAGAAACATCCATGCAGGTGTGTTGAGGCAAGTTGGAGCTAAAATCTGCAGGACACCGACTCTCCAGGACTGAGCTAAAGCAAACACCATTATACTTTACCATCCATTTTATTGCTATGAAATAGTCATTTCAGTTATGTTTGTTTTTCAACTGTAGTGAAATGCATTAATCTGTATAGAGTATGTTTCACTTGTATTCTCCATGTTACAGGAGAGTGTTCTGACCTGCGGTTCTGTGTGGGCTTTTGTGTGGGGGAGCGACTTTTACGCATGTGGAACTTGGGATCCAGAATTAATGACCAAACACTCACATATAATGTGCACAAAGCGCACATTGACGGCACAGCAGAGATTGTGACCATACAGAAAAACCCGAGGTACAAAGTCCACTGCTCAGCTCGCATGTGGTTTATCTCTGTAAACACTGAGATAGACAGTAGGTGATATTTTTTTCACAATCACCATATCTGGAGCCATTTTCCTATAAAGCAACTTTGATGGCCTCTGTTGCAGTTACAGAGACTATTTAGTGACGTTTTATTATAACAGGGTGTACTATGAAATGTTTTAGGTAATATTAATGTAGTATAGTTCAATGGTTCTTATTTTTTTAATTGAAGGTCTATCCAAGCCAATCTTAAAGGGATAGTTCACCCAAAAATGAAAATTGGATAATCGTTTATTGTCTTTCATGTGGTTTTAAAGCTTTATGAGATTCTTTCTTCTGTTAAACACATAAGAAGATATTTTGAAGAATGCTGGTTGTTGGGAACCGTTGACTTCCATAGTAGGAAAAAAATTACTGTGCAAGTCAGCATTTTTCAAAATACCTTCTTTTGTGTTCAACGGAATAAACTCAGAAAGGTTTTGAACAAGCAAAGAGTAAATTATGATAAAAATTTAATTTTGGGGTGAACTATCCCTTTAAGACATTTTCTGTCATTTCTCTTGTATAATTCTGCTAATCGTGACTTTTTATAAAATAAATATGGGCTGTTTTAATTTACTTTGTGATACAAATTTCTGTTTTTCTGTTTTTTAAATAATAGTTAATATTTATTTTTAACTATTTCAAAATTTAATACATTTATAAAAAATATTTATAATTTTTTTAAATTGTACACAATTAACTATTTTTATCAATATAAAATCTGAGCTGTTTTTTGATTGAAAGGTTGACAGATATGCAACAAAGTATTATTAAATGATAAACCCATATAATACAAATAAATAGCAGTTTCATTAGCAATTGCAATACATCTTACATCATTGACTAGTTTTATACACATTTAATAAAATACAATTGAAAAAAGTCCTTAAGTCATATGTTTGAAGTAAAGCTCTCCTCTGAATCAGGTATGTAGTGTGTCGAAGTACACGTCCCGGTACAGTGAGGATCTGGAATGTGGCTCGGGTGCGACTGAAGGGTCGTCCTGTACAGGTGGAGCATGGCCTGTTCTCAAGTTCAGACATCGCTCTAATACGAGACCTGAAAATCTACATACTGTCAGACCTAACTACCTCCAACTTTACTGACGCAGCTGTTTACCAGGTACTTCTGTGCTACACATCACATTTTACAAAGGTACGGAGTATATTTCTTGTCATGTGATGTACTATTGCACAAATATTCGGACTTATATGCTAAGCTACTCGATTAAAGGGATAGTTCACACAAAGAGAACATTAAAGCCATGTTCAGAATACACAAAACTGTTTAAAGCTTTGCACAATTTACTTTATGTAGGATTTGAACGTAAACAACAATTGGCCGTCGAGACACAAGATTCTTCTTGTGTAGTGTGTCATAGTGCACGAGCAGGGATTCTGCAGGTTTCATTAAGTTAAAATGTAAGACTTTAAGACATCTTTAAGAGCATTATGAATGAAAGTTTAGACCCATACAGGGCTAAATGCTAAGGAGTTTTTCCAAATAGCCCAAATGAAAAAGATTTTAATTTGTCCCATCAAAAAATGATTTATAAAATAATAAATTTAAGGCTGAGTGGTTAGCACTGTTGGCTTACAGCAAAAAGGTCATTGGTTTTCTTGGCTGGGTCAGTCTGTGTGGAGTTTGCATGTTCTCCATGTGTGTGTATGTGGGTTTCCTACGCTTGCTCCGGTTGCCCCCACAGTCCAAAGACATGCAGAAGGCGAATTAACTAAATTGGCCGTAGTGTATGTGTGTATTGAGAGTGTATGGGTGTTTCCCAGCACTGGGTTGCAGCTGGAAGGGCATCTAAAACATTTGCTGAAATAGTTTGCCGTTCGTTCCGCTGTGTTGATCCCCCATGAATGAAGGGACTAAGCCAAAGGAAAATGAATGAATGAATAATAAATTGAATAATACAATAATAATACATTAATAAAAATATTTTAGTTAATTATTAGCAAAAACTTAAATATTTGTCAAAACAAGCTAGCTTTAGTTGTATATATGCAAGTTTTTTTTCAACGTAATATTTCTTTAAAACAATATTAAATCTTTTTTTTTATTTTTAAACTATCATAAGTGTATTTTGTATGTATATTAAGACCTACAAGACAATACTGCAGTAAATTAAAGACTTTTGTTATTATTATAATTATTATTATCAAAATTCAACATTTACTACCAAAATTCTAAATTTAGTTTTTGATAATTTAAACTTTTTAAGACGCCGTGGACACCCTGACGATAACCAATGCTTCACAAAATCAACACAGAAAGTCTAGCATGTATAATATTTCATTGAGGGAAAACAATAAGATAAATGTGTGCAATTGTTGGCCAAGGTCTTCAGCAGCCTGATGAGTACTTGAATTAGCAGAAAACCACTCCTTATATTCAATAGTGACACAGTGTTTCCCATATACTGGTTTATTTGTGGCGATGCATGACTTTTTATATGAATGTATTTTTTAAGGTAACCTGTAGTCTACAGAAAGTTTTAATTTGAAGCAATGTTAGTGTTAGGATTCTTGACGACAGCATGCGCATCATACATGTTATGCAATGATTAATCATGAAGTTATTTTTGTATATTTTGTACCCATGTTATGTCAAGATTTTATCTAGTCAAAATCTGATAAACTGACTGTCATAACAAAGAATAACAATTGTGTTGTCTGAAAAGGGATTTAGTCATCTTTTTTTTTTTTTACAAATCTTGTTCATAAAACAATTCTGGTTGCCGGTCACATCCATTATTGGACAATTCACAAATATTCTCTGTATATTGACGAAAGTTGGTTTGGTTGCCTAACATAGAAAGATTTTATTCATTCATTCCCCTTCAGGTTAGTCACTATATTCATTAGGGGTCGCCCCAGCGGAATGAACCAACAAATTATCCAGCATATGTTTTACACCGCGGATGCCCTTCCAGCTGCAACCCAGTACTGGAAAACATCCAGACCTTAATTTGTGCTGGAACAGGGCGGATCCGGAACCTCTGAAGTCTGATCAGGCACCTTATTTTACCGATCCCCCTCCTCAACCGCTCTCTCTCCCGTTAGCTGTTCACTTTCACTTTCTTCCGCGACTCCCAAACCCTCTTCACTGTTGTCCGTGACACCCCCACCCTGCTCACTTTCGTCCGCGACACCCCTCCACCATCCACCCACTCCTCACTTCGCACTGGGAAACACCCATACACTCTCATTCACCTCTCCATCCTCGGGTAGCATGCCAGGTCCGTTACCCCGATCAGTTGCGGGATCTCGCAATTCACAAATTAAGCACTGGAAACATCCATACACACTCATTCACACACATACACTATAGTCAGTTTAGTTTATTCAATTCACCTACAGTATAGTGCATGACTTTGAACTTGTGAGGGAAACTGGAGCACCCAGAGGAAACCCACGCGAACACGGGGAGAACATGCAAACTCCACACCGAAATGCCAACTGACTCAGCCAGGACTCGAACCAGCAACCTTCTTGCTGTGAGACGGCACTGCTATTCACTGAGCCACTGTTTCACCCCCTAGAAAAACGTTGTGTTTTCATGTAGTGTGTGTACACTTTCGTTTGCCATTCATTTCTTTTCAGACAAAAACACAAAGAATATTTCTTAAAATATTGACTTTATATTTTGAAAAATAATGCTATCCAAAAAAATATTTGGCCATTAATGTCCTTTTTTTTTTTGCACAAAATCACATTTTTTGCATCAACTAAAATATGTTTTTGATTAAAGTTAGTGATCCAAATCATTGAATCATCATTCACTTCCACACTGTTAATGAATTTTGTAAATGACACAGTATTTAACTGTAATTTAACTGTATTTTATGGTAGGACAGTTACAATATGCGGTATGTTACTGTATTCTAATGTTGCATTGTGAAAATGACAGCATAGTTTATAGTAAAGATACGCAATACTGTCAATAGATATACAGCAAGATAAATGGTGCTGTGGATGTCAATACGGTATTTTTGCTGTTATTGATTTGCTGTTTCTGGCGAACTGCTGGCAGTAAGTTACTGTTGATTCTACAGGAAATTGACAACACTTGTAAAAAGAAAATCAAAGCATTTGCTAAGTTCTTATCTTTTGAATATATTGTTACACTTTTTATATTGAATGCATTTTTTTTATTCATAAGCAGAAATGGCTAAATCTCCTTTGTTATTCTCAATTTGTATTATTTAACACTTGTTTCCTCTCTTAAATTTACTAAAAACAAGAAAAGCATTATGACAACCAAGCATTATGGTTTATTTTCTTTGTCATTGTTATAATTTATTTTCCTCTGCATGTTATATTTACACTTAAGAGATATAATTGTCATATTTACCTGTTATTGTACAAGTTTGGCAATAAAAAAGCAGGCAGCCAAACAATTATTTAAGAGTTTATACTTAACTCATGACTTAAAACAGCTTGTTTGGCATGCCGTCCCGGGAGAGAGCCCTGAGCTCAAGGGATCCTCGAGTCCAGGGCTCCCTCCCTTTGCAGGGCGAGGGGAGATTGAGCTCAGGGCGATTTCAAAACTTCCCCGAAGCTAAGGCCAAGGTGAACTTCCTGAGAGCGAGACGTCTAGTAAAAGAGACGTAGATTTATTTGGTCTATAATGTAGAGCATATTTAGAAACCCACGTTCTGGATAAAGGTGGAAGAAGGGGGGAGGGGGGCTTATTCAAGACGAAGATAGTTGTAGAGAGAAAAAGAAGATATATATATAGGAACTTAGGATCCTTTGATTGGAGAGTCCTGATAAGCTAATATGAGCCAGCTGGGTCAATCATGAGCACGTACGAAATTAGTTTAATATATTAAACTTCACTAAAAATACTGTATATTTTGACAAAATACATTTCTCAAACTATCTTTTTTATATTCAGCAGAAGAAGTTAAGTCATATGGGTTTGGAATTATGTGAAGCTGACAAAATTAGCACAGAATTGTCATTTTTGGGTACAATTACTCAAATACTGTCTACAAACCGTTTCCTGTTACACTTCCTATTTTTTGCAGACCCTGTTGGTGTATGACCTTCTGAAAAAGAGCTACATCAAGAAACAAACTGGACTGTTCATCGTGCCCTGTCCTCAGCAGGACTATCATCTCCTGGAGGGTGAAATACTGCTGGGCCTTTCAGAAACACGGTAAGAACTACATCATTTTGTTACTTCCTCATTCGATAGAAACAGAAAATTACAATATTGCTTAGTCTAGTTTGAGTAATAATCACGAGGCTGCATGGATATGTGGTGTGCAGGGATCATCTGATATTGTGGGATCTGGACTCTGGCTATATTAAAGGACGTATTAAGACGTCCTACAAAGAAAGCCTGCTCCTCAGCATGGACACGGATTCACATATAATGCCCTCAAAGGAGAAGACAGGTATTAAAACTGTACATAAACACAGGAGTATAAAATGTCATAAAAAAATAAAAATAAAAATCGCAAAGTATAGATTTTGGGTGTAAATGTACTCTTTAAAAGTACAAGTATATGCAAGTGTGTTACAATAATCAATATATTGACTTATTGAGCAATGCTTGCACATGACCTAAACAATTTTTGGTAATTCAATATATATTTACAAAATCACAAATAACAGTAAAGTCATTTTACAAGGACATTATAATTCGCCATTTCCTTAATAGGACTTTTAGTAGGATATATAATAAGACATTTACTGTTTTAATATCAGATTACCAAATCTAAATAACCTTGGGGATGAAAAGTTTGTTGTCTCTTGAAAGTCTTTAAGGGTATTTAAATGATTATAGTATTGTATAATCATTGTCATATGATGATCTCAAATGACAATAATATGACTTATCACAACAATTTCTGTGACAATATTTTGCACAACAAAAATTCTTTACCCTGCCAGGCCTAAGTATGTGGCTAAAAGTATTCCTTGAGAAGTGTAAAATATAATAAATAAATAAATAAATAAATATAATTTAAATATGGAAGAAATGTCAGTAGTTTAAAGAATAAACCAAATATTATTCTTGTTTTTTTTTATTCTAGTTTTGAAATTCATGTTTGCTATATTATGTTATTCCTATATTTCATTCTTTACATTGGCACAAAAATTCTGATACTATCTTTTATGTGTATACGCTTTTTTTTACAGCAGTTTTTAACAACATGTGAAGTTTCATAAACTAATTTCGAGAGGAGCACGTGATATGATTGTGCACCGCTGGCCACTCATCCGTAATCAGTAATAATCCTATCAGAATGATCCTAGCTTAGTATAAATGGATCACTTTCTCCCCATTGCACTATCTTCATTTTGGAAGAATCCCCCCTTCCACCCCATCTCCTCCTTTTTCTCCCCTACTAAAGGGGGAGCGATCGAGACCTACCTGATCTCGGTTCTCCTGATATGCTTCTAGACCGGGCGGGAGCCCTGGGCTCAAATATCTCCGAGCTCAGGGTTCTCTCCCGGGACAGCATGCCAAACCTGCTATAAGTGCCAAGCATATCTAAGTGGGAACTCTTGAAATGCAGTATATGAGGTAAAGGAAATTGAAAAGAGAAATAAATTCAAGAAAAATGGAGAAAAAATAAATAAATGAAAAGAAAAAGAAATAAACTGGGCTGTTTCTTTTTAGGCTTCAATTGCTGCTTTCTTGTTAAAGTTGAATTACATTTTTATTTTGAATCAAGAAGAAATGTCATCAGTAGTCACAATAAAGCTATAATTATGTTTTACTTGAAAACAGAACTATTAATAATGAATCCAGAGATAAATACAATTTTCAACTGGTGTCTAAGTGTTTTCCATAGCTGTATTACAAACTAGTAAATTGCCGTGTACAAATACTGCGCTTTTTCTTTTTGGCATTTTAAGCAGACACATTTGATTGTATTTCTACTATTACTTTTACTTGTTGCTCAGGTCTAGTGATGCCATGGGACAGGCGCACCGAAACCCAGAATGCAAAAAGGATTCGACAAGAGCGTGAGGCGAAGAGAAAAAAAGATGAACAGAAGCGCTTCGAAAGAGAGAAGTTCAACTCTATAGACCAGTATCTTCTTAGTGGAGATGAGCAGGTACATTGATCAATACTGTTAGTTGACAAATACACTAAATGTTCCAGCATTAACAAATAACACTCTCATGGCAGAAATAATCCATTAGTTATTTGGCCAATATTTTATGTTTTATCTGATCAATAGTGATGCTTCAATCAATCAGCCGGAGATCGGTTTCGGTCGATAATCACATTCCATGACTCAATTGGCACTTGCCAATCTGGCTGAACTCATGAACCGATCACAGGTTTTTATTTATGGAGTTTGCAAGCAGAGGAAGAGGTGACGAGAGTGAGTGAATAGAGAACAGATTGAGAGACACTCCAAGCCTGATATTCTAAGCATTATATTGGTTATCTTCTTATGCATCAATTATGCTCTCCAAACTTTTTCTTCAACAAGACATGTTGAATTCTTCTTCCATCTTTTGAAATGTTTCTAAATTGCATTGTTAATCATTGCTTACTGATTTTTTTACTCTGTTTTATCTATTATTTTCTGTAAAACTCCTGACCATTATGACATGTCCACACAAAATAGTTATAATATCCATTTTTAAGGGATTATATGCTGCATCCTTAATTTATTCTCTTAGATAAGGAGAAAAAAAAACGTAAGTATATATTATAGGGAAAATAAACTTTTATGCATTATAAAGATTGAAGCATCAGAATTGGTACTCTGTATAGGCCGATCACATGACAAGGAATCGGTACTCAGTATCAGCTGCAAAAATCCTGATCGGAGCATCCCTAGTCGCTAACAATGAACATGCTCTAAGACCATATCCACACATACACAGGTATTTTTATAAACAGTTTTCCTCGCTTTCTTTAAAAAAAAAATCTCTGTCCACATGATAACAAAAATGCATGAACCGGAAGCTGCGACACATTTTTTTTTTTTTTGTATAGTGACTATTAAATGAGAAATCAGTGGGTGTGGCTTGTTTTTTTTTTTTATGTGAGCTGATTGGATGTAGTAAAGTTAAGAAATATTGGGAAAAAGGTTTTAGAAGCGTTATTAGAACCTAACATAAACAAACTCTTCGCCATTTCTGTTTGTTGTCATAGCACTGTAAAAACGGGCCGTTGGAGAAAAAAAACAAGCCACGCCCACTGTTTTGTCATTTAATATTCTGTTTCTCTAGAAACTGAGTCACAATGCAACAACAACAACAAAAAAAACTGTCACAGCTTTCAGTTCATGCGGACTTCAACTTGTTGCAACACCTCTATTCTCAGCCTGTCTGAAACACTCTGATCCAGTTCAAGTTTCCGCAAGCCCCTCCTTCTGAAAAAACTATAGTGCTCTGCTTGGCCAAAAACCTCAATCTTGTGTCAGAAATGTATCTTTACCATAGTAGTCGGTATTTAGCTCCAAAGACTTATAAAGCAACTGTAAACACAAACAGTTAGTGAATGGCATAAGTTTTACCATATGAATCAATGTTAAAATTATCAAGCAGAGAAATTAAAACCAAACTCAAACGTTTCAGTTTTTTATCTTAAAACTTTCACAAAAGACTTGGCAACATCATGCCAATTAAGTAAGCTTCGTCTTTTTCTTTTCCAAAGACACAGATAATGTCAAAATGTTACATAGACATTTGGAGAAGGATTAAAAACAACACAGGCTCATTGTGGATACATACCCCTGTCTACATTTTTGGAGAGTGCAAATTATGTAGCCAGAGGTATGTATGGCTGCATTTCATTTTTAAAATAAACGCTTTGGCAGTATGACATTGTCGATGGCTTCTGTTCCCATTAGCACTACCACTTTCCTTTGTACAGACGAATTTTCCAGTGTTACCAGTTTGCTCAGTAGCTCATAGTACGCACATAGACTTGGGACAAGGAGTGGAGTTAAATGCAACGACGGGGTTTGAGGGAGTGGGTGAGTCAGTCAGTCAGTCGACAGCAAGCTGGCCTGGTCAACTAAAGTGTTTATTGCGCCCTCTGGTGGATTTATACGAGAAGAGGACACATTAGAGAAATTTAAGATCACCAAAAAGCATACACAGCTGCCTCCGGTGGGTTTACAAAAATAAATCTGTGAGCAGACCAGTTATGTATTTCGCTGTGCCCAGAAATGTAGACCTGGGTACATATCCGTAATGAGCCTGGGTTGATTAAAAAGGATGGATGCATTTACTCTAAGGTAGGCCTAGAGCCATTCTTTTAAGTGAAATAAAAATCACTTTTATAGGAAACTGATCTTACACACTAAAAAAAGAGGAGAAAACAGCAAAGCAATAAAGTGTGTTATGGATGTAAAGATCATTTTTGAATTGATGTTTTTTTGTGTATCACTTCAGGTGGTCGTATGTTCATACTTTGCCCATCATCTTAATGTCTTCAGTGTGATTTCTGAGGAGCATCTGCACACACTTGAGGACCGATGGTCCCTTCTGAGCCTCCGTACTGCTGCAATCACTCATAATGGAGAGCACTTGGTGGTTTCCAACTACAGTGAGGCCCAGCATGCTCCATTCCTCACCCTCTGGGACACACAACGGGGCATGGTAGGCCAATCATCACAGGCTGATCTGTTCAATAACGAGTCATGTAGTTTTAAATACAAACAAAATGGGCACATTGCTAACTAAGCTCAAAGGCATGGGTGACCAACCCTGTTCCTGGAGATCTACCATCCTGCAGATTTCAGTTGCAACCCATATTAAACACACCTGCCTGTAATTATCCAGTGCTGTTCAGGTCTCGATTAACTGGTTTAGGTGTGTTTGATCAGGGTTGGAGCTGAACTCAGCAGGAAGGTAGATCTCCAGGAGCAGGGTTACACTTGCTCTAAGATATAGGTCTCAAACTCATTTCCTGGAAGGTCGCAGCTATGCACAGTTTTGCTGCAACTCCAATCAAACACAGCTGATCCAACTAATCAAGCTGTTCCAGACTACTAGAAACTATTAAGCAGGTGTGAGTTGGAGGTGGTTGGAGGTAAACTATGCAGAGCCCTCCAGGAATTGAGTTTGAGACCATTGCTCTAAGGTGAAATGCATCTTCTTCTCTGCGTAGTGTGTAAGTGGAATATTCTTTGGATCGGGCAGGTGCGGAAGAGATTGAAAAATGAACCTGGAATCTGTTGCATTGCTGTAAGTGAAGATGCCTGCAGAGTGGTGTTCGGGATTGCAGGATTCAACAAGTATGTGGCAACAATATTGTACATCTTTAGAGATTTTTAAATAATTTAAACTGCCATCGAATGTTGGGAATAATTTAGATTTGTAAAATGTTTTTGAAAGAAGTTTCTCATGTTGATCAAGTCTATAATTAATATAAATAAAGTAATATGGTGAAATATTATTATACATGTTCTAGTTTAATGAATTCAAAATGTATATCAGGGAGGCAAAGGGGCCCAAGGGGTAGCACTGTTGCCTCACAGCAACAAGGTCTCTGGTTCAAGTCCCAGCTGAGCTAGTTGGCATTTCTGTGTGGAGTTTGCATGTTCTCCCTGTGTTCATGTGGGATTCCTCCAGGTGCTCCGGTTTCCCCCACAGTCCAAAGGTATGCGCTATAGGTGAATTGAATAAGCTAAATTGGCCGTAGTGTATGTGTGTGAATGAGTGTGTATGGATGTTTCCTAATACTGGGTTGCAGCTGAAACGGCATCCGCTGCGTAAAACATATGCTGGAAAAGTTGGTGGTTCATTCCGCTGTGGCGACCCCTGATGAATAAAGGGGCCAAGCCTAAGGAAAATGAATGAATGAAAATGTAATTTAATACTTCAATGCCAATTACTCCATTACTCCAATCTATTGTCACATAATCCTTCAAAAATGATTGTAAAATGTCAGTTGTTGTTGTATTAAATTATGATTGATGCTAATAATAATTCATAAGATGTTTCAAATGTTGAATTTATTGTTTCTTAACATTTAACTGCATTTATTGACACTTTCTACTTATTTATTATTCTACTTGTCAAAAATTGGGAATTACAATTACTACAACTGTATTAAGACAAAATATTTCTTGAGCACCAAAATCAGCCTATTAAAAAGATTTCTGAATGATCATGCAAGACTGAAAACTGGAGTAATAATGCTGTAAATTCATTTTTAAATGCAATAAAATCCAAAATTGTTTTGAACACTAATAATATTTTACATTACTATAACTATTTTTATTGTAATGAAGAACCTGAGATTTTTTAATTTAATAAATAAATAAATAAATAAATAAAATCTTAATTATTCCAACAACAACAACAACAAAAAAAGAACATACGACAACTAGTAATGCACGAATCACTCTTAAAATTGTTTTATTTCCCGTGTGCTAAAAACTCAGGCTGAAAGTATGGGATCCATTCCGGAGGAAGCATAAAAACATCTCTGGTTACGGGAGTTTAAATCTTAACTGGTCCAGCCAGCTCTTTATCACTGAAGGACAATCCAGAGCCATTTTGTTATCAGGTACAAAAGACCTTTGTTCATACTTGTGTCATCTTGCTCTAGATGCTATCAGTGCAATCCAGGTCAAAAATAACATGCAACATTTGAAGGAATGCCTTACTGAATGCAGATTTCAATGTTTTGAACAGGCGCAGTGAGCATGTGGGACTTGGACAATGGGACGTTGCTGTCAGTCTTCACACCTGACTCTAAGATCCAGAGCATCTCTCTACTTGGACCTAGCAATGGCACGTTGCTTTTAGGCTTTAGTGACATGTCAACTCTCATCACCATGATGGTCAGCCAACAAAACGCACACACTAAATCCAGCACTGCTCGTGGAAAAGACCTGTTTGGGGAATCCAGCAGTAGTGAAGATGAGGAACATGAACTAGCAAATCAGTCCTGACTGGAACAGAAGTTCAGTGATGAGGAAGCTGAAATTGTAGCTTGATAAGCTACAAGCAGCTCATCATGAAAGCTAGCTAAGCTACTGTCACTTCGAAAAAAGTAGCTAGCTACACTACTAGTTAATTCCTAAAAGTAGCTGTAGGTGGGCTTAACAAACCACCTGTGGAAAACACTCTCATTCCCCTCATTGACACATTAACCGACACAAACACTATGCATTTATAAAGTGTACTTCACACAGGCGAGTAGGCTTGACAAACCACCTGTAAAACACTAGCACTAAGTTCTCTGAGCACAAACTAGTTTCTTTGTACAGCACTTTTTGGGTGTATTGCCTTTTCTTGTTAAATCGCTGAATGTCTCCTAAATGGCTTTGGACAAAAGCAACTGCTAAATGACTTAATGTAAATGTAGCTGGTTAAACTGAAGCTACTTCATTTGCAAAGATGTGTTTAACAAAAATATGTATTAGGAATGCTCTGATAGATTGGCTGAAGATCGGTATCGGCCGATAATCACATTTTATGATTCGATCAGTACTCGCCAATCTGGCCGATCTCAAGAACCGGTCGCAGGTGTTATATATTAGATAAAACAACCTGGAAATCATGGAGATGAGAGTAAATTAGCAAAAGAACAGATTGTGAGTGTCACAGTGATTTATTAAGCTTTAAATTTGTTAGGTTAGAAAAATAGCACAATAGAGACATCTCGAGTACACATCCCTGTCTCTCCCATTTAGTGATCGAGTTGCTCTAAGGCTGTCTAGAGCATAGGAGCTGCTGTCACAGACGTGCTAGTTGGAGAGCAAAATATTGGAATGGCCTTGCATGCATTTAGGCCTTTTTACATGTACACTGTAAAACCCAAAAAGTTAAGGTGAAACCATTTGAAGACACTGATTGCAACAAACCGGTTAAGTTAAAAAACTAATCCAAATGAGTACTGTGAACTTAATCCATTTGAGTAAACGTAGCAATGTGAGCACAGTAAAACCCCATAAATAAAGAGAACTCAAACCAACTGAGTACTGTAAAACCCAATAAGTTAAGGCAACCGATTGCTACAAACCATGTTACATGTACTGTGAACTTACTCCATTTAAGTTGAAGTTATGAGGAATTTAATTAATGAGTTAAACACTGAGTTCAAATCTATTTTCAAATGAGTAGAACTTTCAGTCAATTTTGAGTAACTGCACTCATTTCATTTGATAAAGTTCACTGTTGGGTTTTACAGTGTATAAAAACTGTAAGTTCTGTGTTTTTGACTATTTTATCTGGTAATAAAGCTGCTTCTGACCATGACATGTCCACGCAAAACAGTTATAAAAGACATTTTTAAGGGATTTTATGGAACATCCTGATTTATTCTCTTAGGTAAGGAGAGATTTCCACTTACTTGGAGGGGACATGTGCTTTATGCATTAAAAAGATTAAAGCATCAGAATGGGTACTCTGTATAGGCCAATCACCATGACCTCTTGACCTCACCATGAAATCCTGACCAGAGCATCCATAATATGTATAAACATTACTTTTAAGTAAAATATTTTATACTTAAAACAGTATCTATGATACAATTATATTGTTAAAACTTAATGCTTTACACTCAAGTTTTAAACATTTTTCAGACTGTCCAGAGTCAAAGTACAAAAGTGTACTTCATAAGCATTGGAATAATAGAATAAATGTCTTTGATTAAGTGCACGGTAGCATTTTGTAAAGAAAAAAGTGGCATATCACACATTTCGCCAAGAACATTCTTATTTCATGTTAAAAACCAACTATTAGAAAACTTATGTCAACTTGTAAGACAATGCTGTGCTGCTTCAGACCATTGCAGGTTCACAAAATGAGAAGTAGAGCTGTTGTCAAACTACTCTGCTACTTGCTGGAAAAAGGGGCTAGCTACTGGAAAAAGTTGACTGTATCATAAGAGCTACTGAGCTAATGTCAAGCTACTGAAAAATGTAGCTAAGCTAGTAGCTAAGTTACTTGTAGCTAGCTACTACCCAACACTGCAGAATATGAACAGTAAAATTAAAGGCCCTGTGAAGTGCATTTGAAACATGAAGGGAGGGTGGGATATAAAGTAGCTCCTCCTCTTATTTAAAAACAGCCAATAGCATTTTGTTTTATCACCACTTCTGCTAGTAAGAGTAATTGAGCATTGATAAAACAAAACACTGTTGGCTGTTTTGGCACGATTTGAAACTGAAGGATAAGGTGACGTGAATAAAATCGTTGATAAATTTAGGTGGAAGTGACAAACAACAAGCTTTGCGTGTTTATTTCATGTAAAGCCACAGTTTTGGAGCACATTAGCTTATAGGTATCCTAAAAACTAACAATACTAACATCTACAATTCTTTCTTTTAATTTCATGGGACCGTTAAGGGTCTATTCAACACTTGGAAAGTTCTAGCTTTGGTTGGTCACATGCTTTTTAAGTGAACCAGAAATTGTTCACAAAACCACATGTGTATTAAAGTGAACTGTTTATTGGACGGATAGGCGTAGAGTCTGCTGTGTAACCATCCGCTAAGCAGTCTGATGGATCAAACTGACAAACTCTTGCTGTATCTCTGGGAGACCACACACATATTATGTCTACTGCTCACACAAGTCCTTAACTTCAAATGTGCAAATAGAGGGCAACCTGGTCATAAAATGTGTATTATATACACATTTCAGGTATAATGGTGGACTGGTTTCCTCAAAGAAATGGGGAACAACCAAATACCTCAACTCAACTCATTTTATTTCTAGAGCACTTCCAACAAACCACAATGGGTATCAAAGTGCTGTACATAAAACACACAATAAACATGCAAATATACACAAAACCAAAATGCATACTCACATCACATGATTAAAAGCTATAGAAAATAGGTGTGTTTTAAGTGACCTCTGAAAAGACTCAAAAGTTGGAGCTGTTCTTAAGGAGAGTGGAAGATCATTTCAGAGTCTTGGAGCTGCTACCAAGAAAGCTCTATCACCTCGACATTTTAAGCGTGATCGTGGAACTGTCAAATAGAGATGATCCTTAGAGTGAAGACATCTCACAGGTTGGTGTATTAATTAGCTCAGAAATATACTCAGGGGCCCATGGAGGGATATAAAAACACACAACAGAACTTTGTGCTGAATTCTAAACTGTATTAGCAGCCAGTGTAGAGAAACCAGTACAGGTGTAATGTGTTCTCATTTTTTGTGCCTGTTAAGAGCCTGGCAGCTGCGTTCTAGACCAGCTGCAGTCGTGAGAGAGAGGCCTGGCTCACACCCACATACAATGCACTGCAATAATCCAGACGAGAAGAGATGAAGCATTAACAACCTTCTCCAAGTCACTAAAAGAGAGGACAGACTTCAGCTTGGCAATATATCTAAAATAGAAAAAACTATTTTTGACAACCGCATTAATTTGCCGATCAAGTTTAAGCTCAGAATAAAACATTACATATTATTGGGAAGCATCCTACTGGATTATGTGATTATTGTCAAGTAGAAGAATCGGTAGATCATATATTATGTCATTGTCAGAAATATAATTATGAAAGGGAAATATTCAGGAAAATACATCAGGAAACAATAAAAACAAATCAAATACTTAGTCAAACAGAGAACTATAGTTATTTAATTTCATTTTTGAGGCAAACTGGGCTAATATATATAATATAATATATAATATGAGTTTCATAATCCTTCTGGTTTACACTCCAGTATAGTAGGTGGCGGTAAAGTGCCTTAAAGTTTGATACCACCCGCCATAAAACAAGAAGAAGAAGAAGCTCAGAGTCAAAGATGACACCAATACTTTTTTACAGAGGAATGTATTTTTTCCAGGCAGCAATGATAGATTGCCATAAAAATCCAAACCTTTTTGACCAAAAACTATGAATTCACTCTTGTCCTCATTCAGTTGGAGAAAGTTATTTGCTAACCAACACTTCACATCAGTCAAACAATCAAACAAAGCCTGAAGGTAGGATTAATCCTCAGATTTCATAGGGAAGTAGATTTGAGAGTCATCAGCATATAGAGGGTCATTTATGCCATGCTTTTCAAACATTTTTCCTAACGGAAGTGAGTAAAGGGAAAACAAAACAGGACCCAGTATCGAGCCCTGCGGAACCCCACACACTAATTGAATGACAGATGAAGAAGAGCTGTCCAAACTGACTGAGATAGTTCTATCCTTCAAATATGAGGAGAACCAATCAAAGACTAGAGCCTGAATACCAGCGTGTTCTCTACGCCGATCATTGAGAATGTCATGATCCACTGTATCAAAAGCAGCACTGAGATCCAACAGTAGAAGAACAACAGGGCTACCTGAATCAACCTTAAACAAAATATCGTTTAAAACCCTCAATAGAGCAGACTCTGTGCTATGACCAGCTCTAAAACTTTGTCACCAAACCTTTAAATTTATTCATAAATAAAACTTTTTATCAGCGCTAAAGCTAGGGCATCAACTGTTTGTGAGTTTGTTAGTGGCAGTTCATTGCAACAGCAGACTCTATGAGTACACATCTTAAACTTTAAGATCCTAATAACTCAAAAAGGTCTGTTTCTTTGGTGCATGAGTTCAATTGAACCTTTGCAAAGCTTTTGTTTATGCAAACAAATTGCACAAATTATTGTATATGATATTTCGTTCAAATTATAACCAACACTTTGACAAAGAGGGCTATGAGTTAATGAGAGCAAGTGTTATTGAGAGACACCTATCACAAACATGTTGTGGTAGGTAGCCTACAAAAAATATTAAGTTATACTAACTTAAAAAGAGGAGTCATTTACTCAAATGTTTTGCATCCACAAATGCTTTGATTAGTCTGAACTTACCCAGTTTTACAGTTTATAGATGTAAATATGGGACTTTAATGATCTTGAACTTTCGCTTTTTATTGTTTCTAAAGATTTCAGAGGAAATTTTGCTTGTGTGTTTATCAAAAATGCACAAGAGGTAGACATGTGACTTCTGCCTAAGACTAGGAATGCATCGTATTTCAATCAGCATTTCTTGTGCTTGTTTTTCCTCATACTACAAAACTTACCAGAACTTCCCCGCCTTATTCCAGAAGTCATGAGATGTAGAGGTTATGATAAAACCACTATCATTTGATAGAAATTCACTGTATTTTCCTACAGTTTGATATATTAACAGATAATGATGTAAATGCATGTGTGCATTCTTTGACATTGCAGTGCTTAATGAGACTCAGACTGATTCTCCAGTTACTGTCATGCATGGTGAGCCTGAGTCAGTTTTTCACTTCCTGCATTTGTCACATGATTAACAGCAAAATCACAACAGCTTCCTGCTTAGCTCGGTGTTTAGGGAGATTTGAACTGCTGTATAAGCTTTATTATTGCAAATTAAAAATAAAAAGATTGTTTCTCATTTGTATTTAACTGTTTTATTAACTCTTTATTC